AGGGCCCCCACCCCCCCTATGCCCCCCTTTACAACAACCAGCCCCACCGCCCCCCCTCCCCCCCCCCCCCCCCCCCCCCCCCCCCCCCCCCGCTGTCTGGCACTAACCAGGCCCTCGGTGCGCTCCAGGAACGCCTTCACCTGCGCCAGGCAGCGGTTGGCTGCCAGCGGGAAGCGCAGAATGTCCTCGCGGGTTGCCAGCGCAAACTGCGGGGCAGGTTGGGACGGGAGTGGCAGCGGAGAGGACGGTCAGGGGCATCGCTGGCTGCCGCCTTACACTGCACAACAGCTGGGATGGAGGCAACTGGAGGCAGGCAGCCCCAAAACGGGGGCACACACGTCATCTCACAAGAGAGGCAGCCCTGGCCACCCACCTCTGCCGCCTTGTTGGCCCCCGCAAATGCCATGTAGGCCATTGTGGCGGCGCGAGACAGGGGGTGGTCCTCCATGGACGTGAGGCGCTTGAGGCAGTTGGGGACGAGCGCCCCGCTCTGCATCAGAGCCTTGAACCGATCGCCCAGCCTCTTGGCCTCCTCGACTGCCTGCGCTGTGCAGGCCTGCGCCAGGAAAGGTGGGCGGGAGCAGCGAATGGAAGGGATGGGCGACATGCGAGGGCAAGCACACGTGGCTGCTCCCGCCACCCGCTGCTGCACACAGCAGCAGCACCAAGGGCAGCAGCGGCAGGCCCTGGCCGCACCCTGGATGACCTGCTGCCCGGCTGCAGCAGCTCTGCAGCCTCCTGAAGGGACTTGGGCCAGGGCGTGTTGGGGACAGTGTGGCCACGGGGCTTGCTGCCAGCAGCCGTCGACAGCTGCAGAGGTGGGAGGGATGGGAAGGGGAGCTGGGGCAGGAGGGCGGGGAGGTGGTAGTGCCGGAGTCGGCGCACAGCTTATGCAGCATGGGCAGCAGCATAGGCAGCAGCGGCGACAGCCAGGTCACACGTGCCTGCGCAAAGCTGGCCACCAGCCGCTCAACGTGGCGGTCCTCTCCCTGCACCTCGTTCCTGTCGTCCACCACCGGACTCTGCAGCAGCGGGTGGGGCACAGCGGGTAGGGTGCAGGGCAGGGCCGCACCTTGTTATGAGGAAGAACGGCAGGTCAGCTAGGCAAAGGTGGCTTGTGGGGCAAACAGCTGCGCTGCACAATGCATGCCAACTGTCCCAGGGCAGACAGCCCTCTGTCCTGCACCCCCATGGCAGCCGCCGAAGCCCCCACCGCCGCCGTCCGCAGCAGCAGCAGCAGCAGCAGCAGCGGCGGCAATGGCGGCAGCGTCCTCCCCCCTCCTTTGTCACCAGGATGGAGTGGTGGTGACGCGGCCCAGCAGGACATCGCGGTCGTCTGTGCTGCCGTGGGGCCCCGCCACGTGAGTGGCGTAGTTGCTGTGCAGGAAGCCCACAAGCTCCCCCACGTGCAGCATCAGCTGCTTGGCCTGCAGCAGCCCGGGGAGGGAGGGAGGGGGTGAGGGGGGGAGGAGCGGGCAAGACAGGCCGTGGGGCGGCAAGCCGCACCAGCCCAGAAGCACGCCCGCTGCCGGCTCAGCGACAGCCTCGCAGCTGCCACGGCCTGCCTGCCACCCCCCTTAAGGTTACGAAGCTTCCTAACCTTCACCTCCCTTGTGCGGGGCGACAGAACGGAGAAGTCGTCCAGGTCCAGGCGCTGCAGCGCGCTCAGCAGCACATTCGCCAGCAGGGAGCGCGCGACGTCCAAAGGCGGCGCGGGGCTGGAGGGGTGCAGCGCGCGCTCCAGGACATCCACGGTGCCGCACTCGTGTGACCAGGGGCGCAGGCTGTCCTTCGTCAGCAAGTGCTGCGGCAGCGGCAGGCGGGGACAGGGAGAGGCAGGCGGGGGCAGAGCAGGGTGGGGGCACAGGGGAGAGTGAGGTGGGCTCCCCGGCGCGGCTGCACCTTTGGAAGGCGGGTGCAGGCTGCCTTTAAACCCCACGGGCCATCCGGTGCGGTCAGTGCAGCCCAGGGCACCAGCCCTCTGTCCGCTTAAGGAAGCTTCCTCACGCACCAGAAGCAGCTCCCACTGCAGCTGACAGTAGGGTGCTTCTTCGAGGTTGTCACACTCCGCGCTGGAGGCCGCCAGGGCCAGCAGCGGGCGCAGCAGCCGGCGCGCATCTTGGTCCTTCAGCAGGCCTGCCTTCACCAGCTCCGCCGCGTACACAAACGGCACCTGCAGAGCGGGCAGGATGGGCGGCAGCGGAGGCAGCGCCAGGCGCGTGGCCGGGTCAGGACGGGGCAGTGTTCGGCAGAGCAGCGGGGAAGGGGCAACCAAGTGTAGTAGGGGCGGGTAGTCTGTGGGTCCTCCCTGCCAGTCCAGCACTGATGCACCCCGCACACCCTGCCCGACCAATGGCCCCACACACCTTGACCTCGGGCGTCAGCGGCTGGCCCGTCAGCGGCAGGTTGCGCTGCGTGGGGTTGGCACCAAAGGCAGGCGCCGCCAGCTGCTCCGTCAGCTGGTGCAGCTTCTTCATGGCCTGGGAGCTGCACAGGCAGGGTGTGGGGGTGTCTGCCAGCCGTAGGCGCAGACGGCGGCGCCAGGGAGGCGGTCCTCCTGCGCGCCGCCGGCAGTAGCGGACTGCAAGCCGCAAAGGCCACGTGACGACCGCCGCCACCACTCCTACACGCCTCCCTGCTCCCTCTCCGTGCTGGACAGGAGCGGCACCCAGCTCACCGTGCCACAGGGCTCAGCTCCTTGACACGGTCTGCCAGCTGCGCCAGCGCCATGGCGACATCGTGGATGCTGCCCGGCTCCAGCTCTGCCTGCAGCTTGCCCAGGAGGGGCGCAGAAGCGGGCAGCGCATGCGTATTGAAGGGTGCTGCGTGCGTTGGGCAGAGTTTGGGGTGGAGGCAGCAGGCTGCGTTCGCGGCGGCTGTCGCTTGCAAGCTGGTGGCGGGCGGGGGCGGCGGCGGCGGCGCACCAGAAGGTCGGGAGCAGTCAGCTTCTGGCGCTTGGTAGGGGAACCCGCCTGCTCCTCATTTCTGATGCTCTGCACACAGCAGCAGGGCGCAGGGCTCAGGTTGAGTATGGTTTGTGGAGCACGTCAAGTGGCCTGCTTGCTGGCCAGGAGCAGGCAGGCTGAGGGGCCTGTTCCCCACCCAGCTCAGGGCAGGCCTGCAGAGCTGCAGGCGGCCCACCTTCGAGCCCAGAGCGCGGTGCTGGCTCGCCATTTTGACCCTGCTGCCTTCTGAGCGATCTGGGGCGCCTTGTGAGCAGAAAGGGTGTGGGTGAATTGAGAAGTTGAGAGTAGGAGGGATCTACCAGTCGGGGTCTAGCCAGCTGGCCTGCTGGGCCTCTCAAGCGTCCCCTGCACCAGCCTTGTACAGGACATCTCATGCTTGGACAGATGCCTGACAGCCAAGGGCAGCCACCAAGATGAGAATCGCCCCGCCATGCACTGCCTTTCCCGCCCCGCCCGCCGCTCCCGCCCTGTCCCCAACCTGCGCTGCCACAAGCAGTGTCCAATGAGGTGTCCGATGTTACCAACCACAGCGCACCCCCGCCGCCTGCCGATGCTGAGGCAGCCACCGGCACAGAGCTCTCGGTGCGTGGCTCTTTGATCGCATGCAGCCGCAGTGCAACTGCCCAAACTGTGCGGTATGGCGGCCACAGCGCCTGGCTCCTTGGAGGTGCCGCTCTAAGAGGGGTTGACAGGAGGCGCCCTGCTGCCTGCCTGTTGTTCCTGCATCGCGAGGGCTGCATCAATGGGCAGGAGTGGCCATGTCATCCCCCTGTTGACCTACCTCTCATCTGGCCTCCGCAGGCTGCTTGGGCGCAAGCGGCGACACAACATGAACTAGCCCCAGAGCCCAGACTTCTGTGGCTACATGCTGATGCGGCCGTGTGGCGGGTGGGCGCTGTAGCGAATGGGCGCCGCCAGGCTCTCTCACCATTCAAGTCACAAGTGTTTCACTATTGCATAGTACTGGAAAGTGCTCCGCACGGCAGGCTGCTGCCGCAGCAACGGCGACCCAGCGCCCAGTTAGCGACTCTCCACGTCGGCAGCCGCGAAAAGGTTGCAGAGTCACAAGGAAAGCAAGCAGGCAGAGTGTTCAGGTCAAAAGAAAAGCACAGTTGCTGAGCAAAGGGCGGCGACAAATCGCAACCTGATGCTTTAAGATCTGTGATACAGCGAGCACTTGCGGTTGACATCATGCTCGCGCCTGCCAATGCTGTGCGGTGCTGCACTTGGACCGACGGCAGCTCCACTCGTCAGCTTGCAGCGCCCTGCCCGCGCTGGTGCAGCGCCGCCAGCTCAGCGCACTTCTGCTTGTGCCCGCCCTGCCTCCAATGCTGCTTCTGGCTCTCGGTGCTGCACGGAGGGGCAAGCAGTTGCCATCAGTCGGGGAAAAGGCGATAGCCTCTGCACAAGTTGCGCGACCTTGCTGAGCGATGCAGCAATGATGATGATGCAGCAATCCAAGTGCGCTGGCCCCATGCCCCCTCACCTGCAGTAGCTGGCGGTGTGGCAGCCGCTGCAGCGTCGCAGCCCCACCGCCGTCTTGCCGCAGCCGCTGCAAACGCAGTGCTGGGACATGCTCATCAAGCTGCGACCAAGGCCAGCGTAGGCCTCAATGGTAGCATTGATGTCAGGCATAGCCCCTGCCCCCCTGCCTGCGCTGCTGCCGCTCGCGGCATCCCTGCCGCTGCTGCTGCCGCCAGCTGCTGTGTTGCCGCTGCCCGCACCAGGAGAGCTGCCCTGCTGCTGGCCAGACGATCGGCTGGTGCGCTGCGCCAGGACGAGCATGGCGGATGCAACAGCCACCATCTGGTCCAGGGACTGCATCCACGCCTCGGGCAGCAGCCGCTTGAGCCTCCGCCTGGCGCCCTCGGACTGCTCAAAAGCCGCCTTGGCCGCGCGCAGCGTCTCTGCGCGCACCGCGGCCTTCCCGCGGGGGGCGCAAGCCGCAGCGGCGCCGCAGGCTGCCCTGGCCACGTACCAGTCGCTGCCCTGCTGCCTATCCATCTCGTGCAGGCGCAGAAACAGGTCGGCCGTCTGCTGCCCAGGGCCCGTTATCGAGCTGAGGGCGGCATGCTCAGCTGCCTTGAGGCTGCCGGGCTGCATCTGCTGCATCGCCGCCACGCTGGCATCGGCGGCGGCCTGCATGTCCGCCCGCCGAGCTGCTGGCACGCCATAGTTGGACAAGCCTACGAGCTCCAGGCCCGGGTGGTGCTGGCAGGGATCGCCACGATGCCAACCGTCTGGGCCAGGCGGGCGTGCAGGGAGAACATCATCTCCTGGGCGGTCAGCGCCAGCGGCTGCCACTGCTGCTGGCCCGCCCGGCCCTGCCCGCCGCCGCCCGCCGCGGCTGCCATCACTTCTGGCGCCATGGACGCCACATGCGCCAGCTGCATGGCCAGCCCCGCCCCGAGGATGGGGTGGGAGGCCTGGGCGATGGCGTCCTTGATCGCTGCCACCGACGCCGTGCCGTCTGGGTGCGCGGTGTGCCACATGGCCAGCACCAACGGCAGGGGCCCCGGCGGGAAGCCGGGGATGCGGTTGCCCATGCCCCCGTCTGGGCGCAGGTGCATCAAGTACTCGGACAGGTGATCCGGGAAGTTGCACTCGCCGGTGGGGGTCTCTGGCGAGATGTAGTCGGCCCTCATCACCATGCAGTAGGCGACCAGGGCGCGCCTGGCGGCGGCGGCGTCCCGCGGCAGCGCCGCCGTGCCGCCGGCCGTCAGCGGCAGCAGGCGCGCCACGCAGCGCAGCAGCTCCGCCTGCTCCACAAACGCCGCCACCTCGGGGGAGCGCTCTGCGAGAGGGACCTGCTGCGCACGCTGCAGGCGCCGCAGGAAGAATTCGGTGCCGGCAGCCATGGCGCCGAGCCTGCGGGCGGTGAGGCGCGGTGCAGGCATGCGTCGGTGACCGCCGTGGACAGCGGCCTGCGCTGTCATGCGCTGCACCAGAGAGAATTGACATCGCCCTGATGTGCTCACCCTGGAGAAGAATCGACGATGATCGGGCGAGATAGCGCCGCGGCTGGCTACAATTCCGCTGTGCGTGATGTGCACAGCGATGCCGAGACAATGGAGCAAAGGGAGCGTGTACTGCCTCTCGGCCTTCTGAAAGCCGGGAGCAGATATGGGCCCGCGGTGCAGCTGGGATCGGCTTGGGGGCCTGCAACAGCTTGTGTGTGGGTGTCACCTGTGATTCCAGCATCAGCAGGGGTGCAGGAAGGTGCGCCCGCGAAAGGTCACCGCCCGTGCCACCTGGCGCATCCCCTGCCGCCAGCGCCGGCATTGTATGCATCTGTGACTGCACTGCACTGCACTCTTTTGCATCTGGTCAATAGTTTAAAATGGCCCAGCTGCGCCCTTGGCCCTGCCTGCTCACCATCGACGAGAACCGCGCAGAAAACCACGGCGCGTCCGCACTGCTGCAGTCCGACTTTCGACGAAACATGAGGTGATTGCGGCGCCAACGGCGTGGGGCACAGCCAGCGGCATGGGCCAGAGCCATCAGCCGCAGGAGACGCTGGCGCTTCCCTGGGCCTAGGGTGGCAGCAAGGTCCCTAGAGTGGCAGCAAGGCCTGGAGCGGCAGCAAGGCGACGCCTTAGCCGGCGTCGCCTGGCCAGGCCTGGGCGCTCCAGGCTGTGAGCTCACGGGCTGGCTTCCTGCCGCGGTCCTTCCTTGCTCTGCAGGTCGTCCTTGCGGTGCAAGATGGAGCAGCCAAATAATCATTTGGATGATTTGAATGGCCAGCTGGGGGAGGTGCTCGCACGGATTGCGGTGCAGGGGCTGCCTCAGGGGGAGTTGCAGGCCCTTCGGCAGCAGGCGCCTGCCCTGCATGCGCGCATAATGGCGGAACAGCAGCGCGTAATGGCGGAGCAGCAGCGCTTAATGGCGGAGGTGCAGCTGCTGCGCGAGCGTCAGCGGCGGCTTGAGCAGACGCGCCGTCGCGTCGGCGGCGGCAGCGACAGCGGGGGCAGCGTAGACGCTTTGGAACGAGGGCGGCTTCGGCAGCAGCAGCTTGCCGGCGGGCAGGCTGGCGAGGATGCGCCAGCTGTGGCGGCGGCCGGGGGGCAGGCCGGCGGACAGGCAGGCGAGGGTGCACCACCTGTGGCGGCGGCCGCGGGGCAGGCGGGCGACGAGGCAGGCGAGCTGCTGGTGCCCACCTGCCATGGCAGGGCGGCGGCGGCGGCTGTGACCCATTCTACACAGGCGCGCCAGGCGGTGCAGGCTGCCAGCAGCATCTGCCGCTCGGCTGCGCACCTGGCGCAGGCGTAGCGTGGGCTGGGCAGTTTCCTACCTGAGCCCGTTGAGCACAAGCCGGCGGGGATGTGGATGCTTATTCACCCATTCACCCCAGCCTGAATAGCTCTTGCGTTGTCCTGCATCTGTCGCAACCAATTTTGCTTTCCTGTTTTCTGCTGCTGTGTCCCTGGCTGTGGTATCGTGCTACTTCACGATGCAATCGATTACAAGGAGCAACTCGGTAGGCAAACGAACGGGGTACATTAGGGCAAGGCAGGGCAAAATGAAGGGAGGGAGCGTCAAGGTGATTTCCCCTCCACAAAGCAACAACAACCGCCCGGCAACGTTGTGGGGCTGCAGCTGCCATTACCGCATCATGCTCTGCAGCGGCTTTGTCCAGCCCCAATTCGGGCTGGCTAGGTGATGGGTGCTGGGGAGCCGAGCGGCCACATGGCGGCGTGCGCATGCAGCCAGGCCGCCTCACTCGATGCCCCGCACGGTCAGGTGCAGGTCAAAGGCGCGGCTGGTGAGCCGCTTGGTGCGGCGCAGGGTCAAGTCCACTGGCTTCTTGAACAGCGGCAGATCCAGCGGGCCGTTCCGCACCTGCAGGCAGGCAGGCATGAGAGGTGTTGTGCGGCGCCGAGTCGATTGTGGAGCAGCAAGGCCAGCGTGAGGCCGCGCAACCAGCAGCAGGCAGACATGCAGGCAGCCAGGCCTGTCGGCTGGCCATTTGTGCCGTGCATTCTGCCCGACTCCCTGCACGCACCCGCGCCGCCGAGGGCCCAAAGTCCACCAGCTTGTCCAGCGGGGCGTAGGACCAGGCCAGCGTGGAGAAGCGCTTCTTGTCGCTCTTCCAGTGCTTGATTTCGAGGTAAAGGATGCTGCCTGCGGTACACGGTACGGGCGGGGAGCGGTACAGTCAGGAGAGTCAGAAAACGGCACATATCCGAGACATAGTCTACAGGGCACGTAGGCAAAACGAGGCAGCCAAGGAGTGCAGCCACCCGCGCCCTCCCCAGTCACAACCTTCCCCAGCCACGAGCCATCCTCCGCTGCGAGCGCCGCTGCAGCCCTCCCCATGCCACACACCGCATGCGCCCAGACACCGCGCACCTGGCGGGATGTGCTGCAGCTGGGTGGCCAGCTTGACGATGGCAGAGGAGTGGATGGTGCTCGTCTCGCGCCGGTAGTGCCCCGGGTGCGTATCGATGGGCAGCTCCACCAGCCGCCCCAGGCTGTCCCGCACCGATAGCGTGAAGATGGGGGTGGACAGCGCCTTGCGGTACCGCACCTCCGCCCTGTTCACCGCCACCTCCACCTGGCTGTGCGCCGCCTGCGAGTCGCCCGCCCCGTAGCCCGGGCGCGCGGTGGCGGCGGGGTGGTAGGACGGCGCGCCGCCTCCCAGCACGCTGCCCAGCCCTGTACGGTGGTGGGGTTGCGCCGAGGGGCGGGCAAGCGCGTAGTGGCCGCCGGCGGGGTGGTGGGAGGGGCGCTGCAAGGAGCAGACAGACATGCCGCTCACGCTCTCCGCGATGCCGCTGTCGACGGAGGAGGCGTCGTCGTCGTCGTCAGGATCAAAGCCCTGCAGCAGCAGCGGCCGGGCAGGCGGCGGCAGAGGGGCGACATTGCGTCGCTGCGAGGGCGGCGTGCCGGGGGCCTGTGCGCAGCCTGGCCTGCCATTCGGTGTGCATGGCCCTCTGCTGGATGCCCCCTTGCAAGCAGGCCAGGCCCTTTCCAACCGGGCCCTGAGGGCGCCCAAGCCCCTGCCCCCGCCCCGCACCCACCTGCAGCACCGACTCCGCCACCTCGTGCCCCGCCAGCGAGGCCTGCCGGCTGTGGCCCAGCACCGACCGCAGGTGTGCGGCGTCGATGTGCAGCGGCGCGGCGCCGCCGCCCGGCATGGGCGCCTCCCCCAGCAGCGCCGCCGCCTCGCCCTCCGACAGCGCCGCGGGCAGCGGCCGCCCCTTCTGCGCGCCGCGCAGCAGCTGCACAAACAGGCAGAAGTCGCGCTCGCCCAGGCGGCCCCGGCCGCCGCGGTCGGCGGCCTGCCAGGCCTGGTGGAAGATGTGTCGCTCCATGTGCAGCTTGGCAAAGTACTCCATGGCGCAGTGCTTCTCCATGCCGCCCACCGCGGGGTAGCCCTGCAGCGGCACGAGGTGGCGGCGGTGGGGGTGAGGGTGGAAGGGAGGCGGGGCACAGGTGCGGGAGCTGTTGCGGGCAGGGTGGGGAGCATGGATGCCGGTTGCTCAAGGGGCAGGCAGAGGCAGGTTGTGCACCAGGGACCGGCCGAGGCAGGAAGGGGTGGGGTGCGGGCCCCGCGTCCTTCAGCTGAACGGCACCAACACACCCACCTTTTTGGCAAAGATGGAGCGGCAGCGGTGCACGTCGTCCCCAGACATGGGCTCCCAGCCCGCGATCCCAGAGGCCCGAGGCGGCTGCACATCCACCGTAACCGCCGCGGCGGCGCGCTGCCGCCGCACCAGCCGGCCCGCCTCCTGCTGCTGCGCCTGCAGCTGCGCCTGCAGCTGCGCCTGTTCGCCCTCGAATGCGCGCCAGGAGCGGCGCACGCCCTCGCTGCGTGCGCTGTGCTGCTGCCCCGTGTGGTGGTGGGCGGCGTCGCCCGAGGCGGCGCTGCTGCCCATGCTGCCCTGCCGGGAGGCGGCCGGCTGGTGGTGGTGGTGGTGCTGCTGCATGGCCATTGCCTGCTGCTGCAGGGTGGTGGCCGCCGCCTGCAGCTGCGCGGGGCTGGCATCCCCCAGGTTCAGGTGTGCCATCATCTCGGCGATCACCTGCTGCGGCCGCTGGGCCCCAGGGGGGTGCACATCTGGAGACGGGGGCACAAAGGAGGCCGCCCTCGACAGCTGCGGCGCCCCCATGCCAGGGTTGGAGGCCATGGCGGCTGCAGCGGCGGCAGCGTGGCGCAGCGGGTTGACGTCTGAGAACGGCGATGGGGCGGGGGCCCCCGCCGCGCCCGCAGCCTGCAGGTGCTGCATGAAGGTCATGCCAGCCGCCATGGCCGCCGATATGACCGCCTCGTTCATCTGCTGCTGCTGGGGTGGCGTGTGCGCCGCCGCCGCCGCCAGAGACGCCTGCTGGGCCGCCGCCGCCGCCCCGGCAGAGCCAGGGGTGCTGTTGAACGATTCCCAGGAGCTGCGCGCCTTGCCGGCGGCAGGCGCCTGCAGCGGCCAGGGCAGAGAGGGGGCAGCATGTGTGTGTGGTGTGGCCAGATGCCACGCAGCCGCAGAGGGTTTGCTTGCCGGAGCCAACACGGCAGGGCAGCCAGGGCTGCGCACCTCGCCGCCGCCGGCGGTCACTGCAGCGGCAGAGTCGTCTGCTGGGAGCAGGCCCTCGGGGGTGTGTGGGGGCGCTTCAGGGTGCGCTCGACCCACGTCGCCGCTGACCGCACGCATCAGTCCCTGCGGCAGGATGGACAGGCTGGGGTGCTGGTGGCAGGATATCGAAAACGGGCGAGCAGCAGGGGAGGAGGTTGGGGCGGCTGCCTGCCTGCTGCTTGCGGCATGGGCGACGTGCATGCTGCCCAGCAGGCGCAGCAGTTCTCCAACCCAGCGACTCACGGTGAGCTTGGTGGCAAACTCGTCCGCAGCATCCAGTCCCTCCCGGCCCTCCTCCACCTCCCCCTCCTCCTCCGCCGCGCTGGCCATCTCCTCGATGGATTGGTAGGAGGTGGCGCCCGACTGGTGCTGCAGGCGGGCCGCCGCTACCGCTGCATGGTCTGGCTCCTCCTCCGCCGCCTCCTCCTCCTCCAGAGCCTCGCCGCCAGCTGCCGCCATCTCCGCCAGCCCGTCCGAGGAGTTGTGGCGGGACAGGGCCTGCACGCCCTGCTCCAGCGGCCCCGCGGGCAGCGCCAGCGAGTCGGCGCGGCTGAGGTGGCTCTCCAGCGGGCCAGGCGCGGCGGTGGCCAGCACAGCTGCCGCCGCCGCCTCGTACTGCGGCGCCGCGGCGGTGTGCTCGGCGCCGCCGCGCCCGGCTGCAATGTGCCAGGTGTCGATGTGTGCGTCTCTGATGGTGGGAGGCCGCTTCCTGTGGCTGGCCGGCGGCTCCTGGGCCCGCAGGGCATCCTCAGCAGTCACCAGGTCGAACGCCTTGCCCTGCGCCACCTCTGCCACATGCGCCAGGGACAGGAACTGGCGCTTGCTCAGCACCGGCGGCGGCGCCGCGGCGCCGCCAAACACCTGCCGCACTACAAACTCCAGGGGCTCGCCCTGCGCCGATGGGAGCAGGCAGGCGCCGGGGAGGTTGCAGGAGCTGTTGGCGAGCTTCAAGCTGGAGGGTGCAGGGTGTGGGGTCACTGCCCCCATGGCAATACTTGCTGCGGCGGCGCAACCCCCAAGCAAGCATGCCTTGTGGAGAACGCCTCGGCGGCAGCGGGGCTTTGCGGGGTGCTCCCTGCGACTCACCTCCAGCACCTCGGCACCCAGCAGGGTGGTGGCATCTTGCAGCGACACCGAGCCGGCGCTGGCGCCCGGCAGCTTGTTCCAGCGCTTCTCCAGATGCAGAATGTCCTCCACTGATGGCGCCAGCTTGCCCGCCTGCAACAGGGGATTGGCCGCCTCTGCGTCATCTACACGCTGGATTGCATGCCGCCCCAGCAGCAGGGACGCCGGCGGCAGTGCACGGCGGCAATGTTGGGGCATCTGTCGGCATGGCCCGCCGTCTGTCGCTGGGCAGCGCCACCCTGCCCAGGCCGCAGCGTCGCCCTTTCGGCGCTGCGCATTGCGCCTTGGTGCGTGGGTTTACTTTCAGCCCCGCACCTGGTGCTCCTGCACGGCTGCCCCCGCTGCCTGAAGCAGCAGTTGGGTGTCTGCCATATTGCGTCCCCGAGATCCCGTGCCCGCTCACTGGCGTGCTGCCGGCATGTCTGGAATTGACGCTGGCGGTCTGCGTGGGTGGCTGGCGCCGGCAGGTTTGAAGGAGCCAGCACGCAGCACGCCAGCGGGGCACCCACCTCTTCCCCCAGCCCCAGAGCCACCCTGCCCACATAGGCGCGCTCTGTCGCACTCATCGCTGCTCCCCGGCCGCTGGGCTGCCCCTAACTCGCTGCCAGGTGTGCCTGGAGAGCGCCCTTGTCAGCCAGAACTGATCACCGCCGCGGCACGGTCCCCAGCCCCAAGCCAGCTGGTCAGCGGGCCTCCGGCGGTCTGACGGTGCACCTTGTGCAATGGCGGAGGAGCACAGGGGCCGCATCCTGCGGCTGGAGGTGAACAGCTTCAAGAGCTACCGCGGGCGGAACACCATAGGGCCCTTCAGGTGCGCCGCGGGGCGCCCGAGGCCTCGCCGCCGCCGCGAGGTTGCGCGCCGCCACCGCCGGCCGCCGCCACCGCCCTGCTGCCGCTCTCGTCTTGGTTGCAACCGCTGCTCAGCCTCTGCGGTTCCGCTCAGCCTCCCTCCTGCCCTCACGTTCATCACCGCAGGAAATTCACCACCATCATCGGCCCCAACGGCTCTGGCAAGAGCAATGTGATGGACGCAGTTTCGTTTGTGCTGGGCGTGCGCACAGCCCAGCTGCGCGGCTCGCTCAAGGAGCTGCTGTACCACAACACCGCAGGGCAGAGCGCAGAGGACAGGTGGGCTGTCTGTGGGGGCCGGCAGCGGGGGAGCGGCGCATCCCGACCCTGCCTTGCGCCTGCCTGGCGGCCACTTGCGCTGCCAATGCCGCCCCGCGCTACCTCTGCACAACCACTGCCGCCTGCAGGCCGCGCAAGGGGTCGGTCAAGCTGGTGTTTGAGGCGGCTGATGGCGAGGAGGTACATTTCGAGCGCGTCATCAAGCCCACAGGGGCGGGCGCCGAGTCTTTCACCTCAGAGGTGCGGCTGGTAGCTGCTCCTTGACGCGGCCAGCGCAAGCGGTACTGCTGGTGGATGCGTATGGTTGCGGGGAGGTTGCGAGGCAGGGAAGGCAGGGCTGGCGTTGGAATGCAAAGACAGTGCACTGCTGCACTCAAGCGTGCGAGCGGGCCTTCTGCTGTGAAGGACATGTCCTTACTCCCGCCACGCGTGCGCCTGCTGTACCCCTGCCTGCCCGCAGTACAAGCTGAACGACCGGACGGTGGGGTGGGAGCAGTACAACCGCCGACTGGAGCAGTACAACATTCTCGTCAAGGCCCGCAACTTCCTGGTCTTCCAGGTGTGGCCGGCTGCTGGGCCTGCGGGCTGGCTGTGCAGGGCTGGTAGCTGTTGTTTGGGGGCTGTGACTGCCGGCTGGGGCTGCTGGCTTGGTGCTTCGAGATGGGCACGATCCTGCATGCGAGTGAACTGGCAAGTGATGGTTGGGCGTGCTCCTTGGCCCGCAGCCTGCCCTGCACTGCTCGCTGTGCTGTCGGCCATGCTGCTGCTGCACCGCCTCTCCGCACCGCAGGGTGACATAGAGAATGTGGCGCAGATGCAGCCTCGCGACCTGACCTTGCTGTTTGAGCACATCAGCGGCAGCGCGGCCCACAGGGGCGAGTACGAGGAGCTGGAGAAGAAGAAGGCGGAGGCGGAGGAGCGGGTGACTTACATCTTCAGCCGCAAGAAGGCCATCACGCAGGGTGGGTGGGAGGTTGGGGATGCACACGTTCGTGTTGGAGGTGGATGTGGTGGTTGTGGTGGTTGGGTGGATGGCCGCATGCCCGTGCAGCCTCCTTACCCCCAGCCCTGACAGCCCTCATTGATGACATCAATTGACTGACCAATAGTGGAATTTGTTGCGTTCTGTGTGCCCGCTGCAGAGAAGAAGCAGAAGAAGGACCAGAAGGAGGAGGCGGAGCGGCACCAGGCGCTGCAGCAGGAGCTGGATGATTGCCGCGCCGCGCACTTCACCTGGCAGGTGGGCAGCGCCTCAAGGTTCAAGTGGGCCTGGGATCACCTGCGTTGGGTTGTAGGTAGCCCAACGCTCCCCACACGCGAGCTGGTGTCTGCATCCGCCGACACCCTGTCTCCTCTCGGGCCTACCTCCTCCCCTACTCACTCTACTTTGCTCTCTGCTCACCCTGCTGCCACAGGTGTACCACATAGATCAGGACATCCAGCAGGCGCAGGCCGACATCCGAGGCCTGCGCGAGCAGCTGGCTGAGGCGGAGCGCTCGCTACAGGCATGCCTACCTGCGCCAACTGCCGGGCTGCGCCGCCTGCCAGCCTGCATGCATGCATCCCCGCCTGCACCGGCCTGCTGCTGTTGGCACTGTGCAGGGCGCCTCCTCCCGAGCGATTAGGCGAGTTTAGCGGCCCGGTCCCTCACATCTCCACCCTCCCCCTCCTGTCCTGCCGCTGCAGGTCAGCGAGAAGGCTGCCGAGCAGAAGAAGCGGGAGCAGGCGGGGCTGCAGAAGGAGCGGCTGCTGCTGGAGAAGCGCGTGAAGAAGAAGCAGGCGGATGCCGACAAGAGGGTGGGTGGCTTCAGGCGGGGAGGAGAGGGGGGCGCCACGAGCTGGGAGGCTTTGCTGCAAGGCTTGGCCAGCGGGTGTTTGTCCACCCCCACTGTCGGCCTGTTTTTCCTGAGCATCCCCCTCCTCGCCTTCCCCACTCTTGTTTGCCCCACAGAACCCCGAGGCCTTCAAGGTGCGGGAGGACATCCAGCGCCTGACGCGCCGCATCAAGAGCGGCGAGAAGGAGGTGGCGGAGCGGCGGCGCCGCGCCGAGGAGCAGCGCGCCAAGGTGGCGGCGCTGACGGAGCAGCTGGAGTCGCTGCAGGATGCGCAGGTGTGTGGTGTGTGTGTGGTGTGGTTGATGTGGATTGTTCGGGGTTGGTGCAGCTGTGTCACCTGCTCTCCTTCGGCTGCTCCGACCATCGGCCACAAGCAAACCTGCGCCTGAACTGCTGGAGTGGACCTGAGGCTTGATTTTTGCCCGTGCCCCTGCCTGCACCCAACTGTGCCCACCGCTGCCCCCTTCTGCCCCTCCCTGCCTGCAGCGCACTCTGGAGGAGGATGCGAAGCGTGGGCAGCAGCGCGGCAAGCTCAAGCTGGCCCCCGAGCTGGTCGATGAGTACAACCGCATCAAGCAGGTGGGCAGGGCTCCCTTCTTTTCCTGCTTTCTTCTTGTATTTCCTTATGGCTTAGGCGCACGAGGTTTTGTATTGGCAAACCGTTCCAGTGGGTAGGTTTACGCGAGGCATCGCCTGCCGTCCGTGCCGCTCGCCCTTCTTGCCGTGCTTGCACCCACCCCATTCCACCCCACTACCGCACAATGTCTCGACATAACCTCCTCGTCGGCTCGCCTGCAGGACGTCAAGGGCAAGACGGCGCAGATGGATGCCGACCTGGCCTCCAAGCAGGCGGCGCTGGAGGCGCAGGAGCAGGCGCGGGACATTGCGCGGGACAAGGCAGAGTCGATCGACGCGCGCATCGCCACGCTGAGTGAGTAGTGCTGGTGTGCCTCTGTGTTTTTGATGTGTGATAGAGGAGGCCAGGGGACGGGGCGTGGAAGGGATCGTTTGTGTGTGCGTTTGAGCCAGGGACACTGCCATGCCAGGAACACTGCCACGACCCCGCTAATTGCATTCTCTGGCCTGCCGCCTGCGTGTCCGCTTGTCCACCCACCTTCAACTGCAGCCAAGGAGCAGGCGGAGGCAGACGCGCGGCGCGAGACCGTGGCTAGCACACTGGCAGAGAAGGAGCGGCGGCTGGCCGAGGCGCGGGCTGAGCTGGACAAGGCACAGAAGGAGACGCGCCACGTGGATTCGCAGGCAAGCAGTACAGTGCAGTACATGCAGTACCGCATTACTCTGTCACGCTGTCGGTTCGCAGTGGTATGAACGCTCGCCCATTGCGCCAGCATGCGTGAGGCCTGGGCACAGAGGCGAGCTGCCGCTTGCCTGTGCATCTGCTGCCAAGCAAAGGTACTGACAGATTTGGGTCCGCTTGTGCCTCCCCGCCCTGCAGCGCAACCGCTGGACGGTGCAGCTGGAGGAGGTGGAGGGGCAGCTGCGGGAGGCGCGCCAGGTGGGGCATGGCTGCGCACTGCATCTCTCCCTCGTTGGCTGCGCTGCCGGTCGCCAGCTGCTGCTGGGCTCGGGCCTGCCCTTCCGCTGCGCGCCTGCCTGCTCGCGAGCTTGCCTGCTTCACTGAAACTTATGGCTGCCCTGCCCACCTCCCATGCTGCCCTGCCCTGCCCTGCCCATCCTCGTAGGCCCGCAAGGAGTCTGACCGCGACAGGCGCGTGAACGAGGCCATCGCCCAGCTCAAGGCGCAGTACAAGAACCGTGAGTGGCGGTACAATGCATCGCTAAGAAGACGGCGTCAGCTGCTGCACGCGCATGCCGTTTGGGTGGACTCTTTTCTTTCTGCATGGCGTGCCTGAGCATTCAGCCCACGCTCTCTGTCGCATTCCTCCCTCTCTGCTCCTCCCCTACCCCGCTGCCAGGCGTGTATGGGCGTGTGGCCCATCTGGCTGACATCCGCGACAAGCGCTACGTGCTGGCGGTGACTGCGGCCATGGGCAAGGACTTTGACGGCATCATCGTCAAGGACGGTGAGGCGGCGACGGCTGCGCTGAGGTGGCACCGGGATGGCGCCGCCGCGCTGGACCGCCTAGCTGCCATGCCTGGCCTGGGCCTTGCTGCTGGTGGCGACACGCGCTCTGCTTGCTTCCCTGCCTGAGGTTGCTCCCGCCCTCTCCTGCCTGCCTCTGCCGCCAACTCCTGCAGCCGACATGGCCAAGATTGGCATCCGTGTGTTCCGCGAGAACCGGCTGCCGCCCCACACCTTCATCCCCGCCGAGGCATGCTGCCGCCCATTGCACTTGCCCTTCGCAGCACATACCTTGCATGCCGCCATGCTTGGTATTCCCCTGCCCTCCTCCTCCCAATGCCCTGTCCTCTTGACCCTCCCGTACCTGCCCTGTCTCGCCCCTGCCTCGCTTTCCTTTCTTCCTCACCCCCACAAAAGTAAAGTTTTCCTGCTTTCCTCCCCGCCCCATTGCCTGCACCCTCCCGCAGGACATCAAGGTCAAGGCGGTGCCCGACTCGCTGCGCCACCAGCTGCAGCGCCGTGGCGTGGGTAAGCTGGCCGTCGACCTGGTGGCGCCCAAGCAGGAGGGCACAGACCGCGTGTTCCAAATGCTGCTGGGGTGAGGGGGATGCCGCTGTGTGTGTGTGTGTGTGTGTTCCGGAACAGGGTGCTTCTGGGGCTGGTGCCGGAGTCGTGGAATCGCAGGCAGTCCGCTGGCCGGAGGCGTCATTTTAGGACGCTAAGCGCGCCTGAGACTTATTCCTCATGCCTGCAACTCCGGGTGCCCCATTCGCCTCCCCCGCAGTACCACCATCGTGACTGACACCCCCGAGCAGGCTCGCGAGGTGGCCTTTGGGTCTGCGCAGCGCCAGAAGGTGGTGTCCCTGGACGGTACCATCATTAATAAGGCGGGCATCATCACCGGAGGCATGCACGGCGGGCTGGAGGCGCGGGCGGGGCAGTGGGACCGGGGCGCGCTCGACGAGCTGAAGCAGGTGGGTGGGATGGATGGATGGTAGGGTTGTTGGCTCAATGGCTGGCTGCTGGACGCACCCCGCTTTCCTTGCTGAGCCCGGCTGTGTTCCCTGCATGCCCCCTGCCCGCATGTTTCCATCTGCTATGTTTCCATTTGCTGCCTCCCTTCCCCACCCTGACCTACCTATTCGCGCACACGCGCACCTTACCACCCACACTTGCGCCCGCCTGGCCCCCTCCACAGAAGTATGCGGGGCTTCAGGAGCAGCTGGAGGCGCTGCCCGCCCAGCGCGAGCTGGTGTCGAGGCAGCAGGAGCTGCAGGCGGCCATCAGCGGGCTGGAGAGCGACATGCAGCTGCTGCAGGTGGGCTGGGCCCGGGGCGGGGCCATGGCTCGGTCATTGAGGAGCTTGCAGCCGGCACGGCAGTGCCCCCCCTATATCAAGTACCACACACAGAGGGGCCTGGCAGCACACAGCAAGCGCACACGCGGCTGTGCTTATGGTTGTTTCACAGCGTCGCGTGCTGCGCTGCTGCCTGATGCGTCCGTTGGCGTGCGCTGCCCGCAGGTGGACCGCAAGAGCTCAGAGGGGAAGTCCAAGGGAGCCGCCAAGGACATCCAGGCCCTCAGCAAGGTGGGCTGGCCAGGCTGGCGCTGACATGGCCGAGCGGGCGACGCGGGGCTCGTGTACTGCCTCCTCTGTTGTCTGCCTCCTCTGCCTCCCTGCTGCCTGCGCCGCTGTGCCCCGTATGCTGCCCGCCTGGCGTGCCGCGCTCACCCGCCGCATCCCGCCCACCTGCCTGCCCGCAGGAGAGCGAGCGGGTGGCTCCCGAGGTGGAGCGCGCAGAGGACGCCATCACCGAGGCCAGGCGGGAGGTGGGCAAGCTGAAGCGGCGCATCGACGAGATTCTGGACCGATCCTTTGCTGCCTTCAGCAAGTGAGTGGGGGGCAGCAGATGGTTGGGAGGAGCTGTGCGGAGCAGGCAGCGTCGTTTGTGTGCTGTGTCTTCGTGCGCTGGCTTCTTGTGTGGCTGCCATGTCGTGCGCAATGGCGGCCGCTGCCGGGCCGCACCACGACCCAGGTTTCAGCGGCCCCACCAGCTGCCCTGCTCGCGTCGCGTGCCCCTCGCTGCCCCCTGCTGTCACTGCTGCGCCCTGCTGCGTCGCTCACCTGCCCCGTGTGCCGCCGCCTGCCCCTGCGGTGTGCCCCGCCCCCCCGCAGGAAGGCTGGTGTGGCCAACATCCGTGAGTATGAGGAGACTCACCTCAAGGAGAGCCAGCGGCTGGTGAAGGAGCGGCGGGACCTGGCGGGCCAGGTGGGTGGCTGGACGTCTGTGTCTGCAGGGCGGATGGGCTGGCTGCTGGGTGGCTGGTTGAGCAGGTCGGCATGGGGAGGTGGGTGCCAGCCAGGGGCGAACGCCAGTCGGCGGCCGTGGTATTGATGGCCAAGACGCCACCACAAACATGCGGAGGGACAGCGCTGCGCTGCGTGGCTTGCTTGTCAGCCTGCTCCCCCTCCCCCTCCCTCTCTCCACTCTCCCCCCTCCACCCGTGCCCCTCCTCGCCCCTCCTGCCTCCTCCCTGCCCCTCTTCCTCTGCTCCCGCCAGGTGGCCAAGGTGCGCAACCAGCTGGAGTATGAGGAGGCCAACGGGCGCAAGGCGGGCGAGGCGCTGCAGGCCAAGGAGGCGGAGCTGGAGGCGGAGCGCCGGGCGCTGGCGGCGCGGCAGCAGGAGGAGCAGAAGTTTGCCAAGGAGGGGGAGGCGGCGCAGGTGGGGGTCTCCGGGCGGCTGGCAGGGTGGTGGGGTGGGTGGCAGGGCCGGTGCACACGCGGTTGGGCTGCTGTGGCTGCTGATCCTCTGGACCGCATCCCGCTGCTCCCTCACACCACACCCTCCCCATCACCCACACTTACACACGCACCCGCTCCCCCCTGTCTGCCGTCATGCAGGCGGAGATCGCTGAGCTGCAGAGGGAGATGGGGGAGAAGCGCAAAGAGCTGGAGGGGCTGGAGGCGGAGCTGAAGGAGCTCAAGGAACGGGTGGCGGCCAACAAGGACGCAGGTACGGGGCGGTACGATTGCAGTACAGGCAGACCCGCGGTGCAGATGGGTGAGACTGTGTTGAGCAGCGTCGTGTACAGGCGCGACGCAGCTCGCGGCCGCGCTCGACCGCCACAGCTTTCGCTTTGCTCGTGGTTTTGCCCGGCTGATGAACCTGCCGCGCCTGCGCCCTGGCCCTCCTTGCCCCGCACCCCGCCCGCAGTGGCCAAGCACCGCCGGTCCATCGCCGGGCAGCAGTCTGCGCTGGAGGACCTGTGGACCAAGAGGGCGGATGTGCTGGAGACAGCATCCATGGAGCAAGTGGCGCTGCCTGTGCTGGTCGATGGCAGCCAGCAGGCAGAGGATGATGACGCGGAGGAGGAGGAGGAGGAGGAGGGCGCAGGTGGGCGAACCTGCAGCGGGGGGAGCAGAACGGCAGGCACGCTCAGCTCGGCTTGGCTTCGGTTCCGGGCTGCGCCACGCTGCGCGTCCCGCAGGCGCAGCACGAACGACAGCGTGCACCTTGCCCTTACCCTACCTTGCCTGCCCTTACCCTGCCTTGCCTTCCTTCGCCGGGCGCTGCAGCGGGCATGGATGTGGATGGCCAGGCGGCGGCGGGACCCTCCAGCTCCCAGAAGATCAAGAAGGGTGAGCCAGCCGCCGGCAGCTCACCCTTCTTGCTGCTGCGCCAGCCTGCTGCGCCAGCCCTTGCCGGCCAGTCGCCAGCGCCACGCCTGCAAGCCTCCGTTCCCTGCCACAGCCCCATCAGCCATCCGCCACCACACCACCACACACGCTGCCTGCCCCCGCTCATCTACACACCAACACACGCACTTTCTTCCCCGCACAGTGCGCCTCGACTTCTCCTGCCTGGATGCCACGGCCCGCCTGCGCGACCGCAAGAACCGGGAGGCCTGGGAGCGGGAGCGGCTGGGCAACATCGAGGAGATGAAGGCGGGGCTGGCACGCCTGGCGCCAAACCTCAAGGTGGGTTGTGTGTGTATGGGGAGGCCTGCCGAAGTGCGGCGTTTCAGTGGGGGTGCAGCGGGGCAGTGCAGAGCAGGGCTGGGCGTGGCGGCAGGTGAGGCCAAGCAGTACACCCTGCCTTTGGCTGTGCAGCAGAGGCAACTGTGCTGCTCCACGCGGCGGCCCTACACCAGGCTGTTGCGACACCATCCTGGCCCTGCACCTGCACCAAACATGTACCTCACCAGCACTGGTGCCGCTGTACCGCACCTGTACCGCAGGCTGTGGAGCAGTATGAGGCCATCCGCGAGAAGGAGCGGGAGCAGCTGGAGGAGCTGGAGGCGGCGCGGCGGGAGAGCAAGGCGGCCACGGAGGCGTTCCAGGCGGTGCAGCAGCGCCGCTACGACGCCTTCACCTCCGCCTTTGAGCACGTGGCGGCGCACATCGACCCAATCTACAAGGTGGGGCTTGTGGCCGCTCGTGTTGTGTGTGCCTGTGTTCTACCTGTGCTGTGTATGTGTTCTACTCGTTTGAGGGGTTATGTGTGTGTGTGTGTGTGTGTGTGTGTGTGTTCTGCTGCCTGCCTGCCTGCGACCGCAGACGTCTTCTCGCCTGCCGCCCCTGCCGCCTGGGCCCCTTCTGCAGGAGCTGACGCGCTCCTCCGTGCACCCGGTGGGCGGCCAGGCCTACCTCAGCCTGGACTCCAGCGACGAGCCCTTCCTGCACGGCATCAAGTTCACAGCCATGTGAGTGAGTGTGTGTGAGTGTGTGTGAGTGTGTGTGTGTGTGAGGCAGCGGGCACGAGGGGCAAGCCAGGCGGGCCAGGTGCTGGCAACCCCTGTGTAAGGGGAGGGCTTGCCTGCCGGCGCGCCCTGTGGCCGAACCCTCGTTCCGTGTACCTCCCTCCCCAACCAACCCACCCCTGCCCGCAGGCCCCCCACCAAGCGCTTCCGCGACATGGAGCAGCTGAGCGGCGGCGAGAAGACTGTGGCGGCCCTGGCCCTGCTGTTCGCCATACACAGGTGCGGGCGGCGGCGCTGGGGCGCGGGCGGCGGCACCATCCTGGCCGACCGTCCCCATGGCCCTGTTCTGCCGTCCCGCCTCCCGGTCCTGCGCTGCTTGCCCTCTCCCACCTTGCTTCCCTGCGCACCGGAGCTTCTATCAGCTCTCTTCCCTCTTTCAGTTTCTGCTCACGGCCCCGCTCCCTGGCCCCCTCCCTGCCTCCTGCCGTGACTGCAACCGCCGCCTCGCAGCTTCCAGCCCTCCCCCTTCTTCGTGCTGGATGAGGTGGATGCCGCCCTGGATGCCACCAACGTGGTGCGGGTGGCCAACTACATGCGCCACATGACGCGGGACGACACCCAGGGCAGCTTCCAGGTGGGCGCCCCGGGCGCCTGGCTGGTGGTTTTTGCGCCTGCGGGCCCCTGCCCTGCTGCCTGGCTGCCTTGGCGGCGACGCTGGCTGCCCTCCCAACTTCCTGCCGCACTCGCCGCCCACGTGCACCACACGAGCCATCACACCACCTGCCCAGGCTCCTCAATTCTTTCCACCCACACCCTGCCCTGCAGGGCATCGTCATCTCCCTCAAAGACGTCTTCTTCGAGAAGGCGGACGCGCTGGTGGGGGTGTGCCGCGACACCGAGCGGGGCTGCTCCGAGACCTACACATTCGACCTGGAGCGCTTTGGGCCGCCCGCGGGGGCGGTGGCGTGATCGGCGGCAACGACAGCATCCTGGAAACCCAGCCCATGTACATTTTGCCCGGAAAGAAGCTGTTCGTTTGATTTTTATCCTTCGCTCCACCCCTGCTTGACCTTGCTTGACCCTGGTTCAATTCATTACCAGTGTGACCAAACAATCTTGGGAAGGCCCTGGGCAGTCGGTGCACAAAAAACTGGGCGCAGCGGCGGTGCTGCGACGCGGGCTCGGGAGCGCAGCAAAAGGAAAGCAGGCGGAAGGGGCAGCAAGTGGCGGGGGGGAACAGGAAGTCGGGGTCGTCACAATGTCGTCATCAAGTTGCACAGTCAGGTTCTGTCTTGCTCCTGCACGCAGGCCCTCAGATTCCCATGACCGCCTTGGCGATGCCAAAGTACAGGATGAGGCCCGTGGAGTCGACCACGGTGGTCATCAGCGGCGCAGAGGTGACGGCAGGGTTGAACCCCAGGTGGGACGACAGCAGCGGGAACACGCCGCCCAGCAGGTTGGCCCACAGGCTGACGACCTGCGGAAGGCACAGCAAGGCAGGGCGCAAGGGAAACAGTCGGTCGCGACGGCGGGGAACAAGGGTGGTTCCGCGTGGTGCGCCCCCCAAAGGTGGCTGGGGAGCGGGTTGGAGGCGCGGCGGGCGCAGCCGCGCCGTGCCTGTCCCCACCCGGCCACCCACCGGCAGCGAGATGGCCACGGTGACCCCCACTTGGGTGGAGATGCCGCTCCAGAGGTAACAAAACGCCATGATGACGACACCCAGGCCGCCGCCCATCACCGTCCCTGCAGCGCACTCCTGCGGGCACACGGGCACAGGGACGGGGGTAGCCGCGATCAGCCACATGCCGCCGGCCGGGCATGCCCTGCCTGCCAGCATAACATCCTCCCCCTCCTGCGCTGCAACCCTGCCCCCTGCAATGCGCCACGGCATGAGGCCTCATTCCCCACCAAACATCCTCAGCCAGCCACACACACCAGCCCCGCCCCCGCGCACCTTCCACACCACCATCATCCAGTCGCTGGGCCGCAGGTGCCCCAGCGCCAGCGCCCGGATCACTGTGGCGTTGCTCTGGCTGCCGGTGTTGCCGCCGTGGCCGATGAGCAGCGGCACAAAGTAGGAGAGCTCGACGTGCTCCCGCAGCACCGCCTCAAACGCCTCCACCACCACCGCGGCCAGCATGAGGCCCACAAAGAACAGCAGCAGCCAGCCGGAGCGAGCCCGCACCAGGTCCTGGATGGTGTCCTTCCTGCGGGTGCAGGCGGTGTGACGTGATGTGACGAATGCGGGCTGTATAAGGCACGCATCGGCGCCAGCAGGACAGCCAGGCCTGCGCACGTGTGTGCCTGCCATCACTCCACAGTTGCGGTTCTGGCTGGAGTGTTTAACTCGAGTTTTTAACTCGAGTTCCCGGCCAGCCCCCACCTGTAGTTCTCTTCGTCCTTGTCGTGCCCCGACACCGCATCCTCCCCAAAGAACAGCTTGGCCTTCTCCAGGCTCCTGCAGGGGCGCAGGGGGCAGAGGTCGGGCCAGCAGTCACACAAGAGTACGCACAGGGCTCAGGTCTGAATCATCCGCTTCCTGCCTTGTGCTGGGTGCCCGGTACAGTGTGGATGGATGCTGCACACCGTCCAACCCACATTTCGCTCACCTAGGGCTGGGAACTGACACATCGAGGGTGACCATGGCGTTGGCTTCTCAAAGCGTGCGCCGCCGCTATGGCCGAGCGGCGGCAGCAGAGGGCGGCGGCGGCAAGGGGCGGTTGCGGCGAGCTGCTGCCAGTCGGCGACTGCGGCGCCTCGTCACGCTGCTGGATGCTGCCAATATCGTCGGGCTGCCGGGAGCCCCTGCTTGAACCGTGGCGGCCTGGCTTGAACCGTGGCGGCGGCGGGGCGCCTTAACCTGCTGCCAACACCACAGCAGCCTAGGGCTTGTATGGAGGGAGTCTGGAAGTCGTGCAGCACCAGCACCTGCCAATCTGTGGGAATTAGATGGACCCCGCCAGCGAAGAGAGGAGGAGCGCCGGTTTGCTCCAACGAAGATCCAAGCACCGACAAGTCTCCCACAATGCGAGAGGCACACGAAACGCGCTAGGCAATCGGGGGCGCGGGTGGAAAACACAGGGCGCGAAAATGGCGGCGCTGACCATCGCATCTGCAGCCTTCTGCGAGTCCTGACACTGGATGGTGCAATGCGGATCGCAGGAGGGACTGCAAAGCTCCAGCATGTGTCCTTCTGGCATGAACATGCACAGCAGACAGTTATTTTGCAGCAAGTGGAGCTCAGCACCCCCCATCAGCGGGCGCGCATGCCATTTGCAGGGTACCGGCTGGGCGCATGCCACCGACAGGGGGCTGGCGGCAGCTGTCTCCGGGCGCAGCAGGGCGGCACGGCGGTACGGCGACGGCAACAGGGCAACAGTAGGGAACCCCCACCAGTGTTTCGACAATTGCTTGGCATCAAAATTCGCTCCGGCGAGCAAGCCTCTCCTGCTCGTGCCTGACCTCGACAATGGCGCTGCGCTGCTCCATCTCTGCGTCCCTCCTGCATCAGCTTCGCTCTGCACTGACAGCATCGGCGACAGCAGGCGTGCGCAGCCTGAGTGATGCGGCGCATGCCGCTCCTGGCAGTGGCAGGTTGCCAGCAGACGGGCTGACGCTCCAGGATTTCATCAGGCAGCACGGCCGCAGCCCGGATGCCGCGCCCCTGCAGCCTCCGCCGGGCACTGCCCTGGCCGCCGCCTCTGCGGCCAGCGCTCGCACAGCGCCGCCGCTCTATGCACCGTCGCCGGCTGCGCTCCCTGATGCCGCCTCGCCGCCACGCACGGCGTTTGTGGAGACCTACGGCTGCCAGATGAACGTCAACGACTCAGAGGTTGTGCTGGCGGTGCTGGACCAAGCGGGGTTCCAGGCGGCGGCAAGGTCCTGAAGCCGCCTCTGTTCATTTTCCTCAACACGTGCGCCATTCGCGAGAATGCGGGGGCAAGGTGGGGCAGCGGGTACCACCCGCGCACTGGCTGGGTTCACAAAGCAACATCGGGCCTCTCCAGATCTCCTCCTGCAAAACGTAATCACGTGCCCCCTCCCTGCAACCTGAAACCGCAAACCATCGCCCCCGCCTTCAGATCTGGCAGCGGCTCGGGTACTTGAAGAGCCTAAAGCGGCGGCCCGGCGCGGAGCGCCGCCCGCCGCCCGTGGTGGGCGTGCTGGGCTGCATGGCGGAGCGGCTCAAGGAGCGGCTGCTGGAGCGGGAGAAGCTGGTTGACATTGTTGCGGGGCCCGATGCCTACAGGTGGGCTTGGCTATACCTTAGCATCTGCCAGTGCCCGACTATTCTTTTCTTGCCTCTAGTGTGCACCATGACCCGCACCGGGAACACCACAGCCACCAGGAACACCACAGCCACCTTGCCTGCAGGGACCTGCCGCGCCTCATCGACATCGTGCAGGGCGGCGCCGGCGGCCCGGGCGGCGTCCTGGGCAGCGGCGGCCTGCCGCGGCCGGGCGGGCGCGCGGCCGCCATGAACGTGCAGCTGAGCGCCGACGAGACGTACGCCGACATCACGCCCCTGCGCCAGCCAGACGCGCTCTCGGCCTTTGTCAGCATCATGCGTGGCTGCAACAACAGTGAGCCTGTGTGGTGGTGCTGGTGGTGGTGTGTGGTGTGGATGTGAAGCTGGGGTCGTGGCAGCTTCCACCCCCTCGCGATGCGCAGGCCAGGAGCATGCGCAGGCTTCCTGCGCTGCTGGCCACCGCGCTGACAGCGGGGCGAAGCAGGTGCGGTGTGGCTGTGCTTGACGTCCTGCCTGCCCGTGGCCCGCCCCTGCCCCCTGCCCCCACCCTGCAGTGTGTGCCTTCTGCATCGTTCCCTACACGCGAGGCCGCGAGCGCAGCCGCCCGCTGCAGTCCATCGTCGATGAGGCAAGGGCGCCCAGAAGAAACCTGGGCTGCCGCCTGCTGGCCCGCCGCCCGCGGCTGCGCTGCTGCTGCCTCGCCGCGGCTGCGCCCCAGCTGCCGGCTGCCTGCGTGCCTGGCTGCCTGCCACCTGCGCGCACCTGCCCTGCTTGCCGGCGCTGCGGAGTGATGCGACTTGAAACAGCGTGAGCCTCTGCCACCCACTGCGGTGCACTGGCGCTCCATGAGCTGATGATTAGTCTTTCTGACCGCCCTGCTTCCAGGCGCCTGCGCCCTGTCGGCAGCCTTGCATTGTGCTGCTGCTGTCGCTGCTGCTGATGCCAGCTGAGCACCATCCCCACAAGCAGCAACCTCACAAAGTACACACACAACACATCCCACCACACCCACACCGTTTCCATGCCTGCAGGTGCGCATGCTGTCTGAGCAGGGGGTGCGGGAAGTCACGCTGCTGGGGCAGAACGTGAACAGCTATGCAGATTTTAGCAACAACCACGATGACAGCAGCAGTGGTGTTGGCAGCAGCAGCCGTGGCGGCGGCGTGGAGGAGGCGAGTGCGGGTGAGGATCCATTTGGAGCGGTCTACGCCCGCGGCTTCCGCAGGTGCTGCCCGCTGCCGCGCACTCGCTGCTGCTCCTCACTCGTTGCGCACTGCCATCCATAGCCTGGGGCTCCGCTGCGGGCTGACAGCTCGACAAGAAGGGTCTGGCCACCTCACCAGCACTCGGCACTGCCCGTCCTCACCCCACCGCGCCTTCACCCAAAACCCACCGCTCTTGCCTGCGCTGCAGCGCGTACCGCCCGCGGCGCCAGGGCGCCGCCAGCTTTGCCGAGCTGCTGGATGCGGTGGCTGGTGTGGACCCTGAGATGCGCATCCGCTTCACCTCGCCGCACCCAAAGGACTTCTCCGACGATGTGCTGCGGGTGAGCTCGTTGAGGCGCTCCTGTGGCAGGTGCTGGTGGGTGAGGGGGTACTGGTAGGTGAAGGGTTTGAGGGGCTTGCGCTTGCAGGTATAGTGCCGCCGCAGCAGCGGACGCAGTCAGGCGCGCTGCCGTCTTGGTGGCTGACGTTCCATGGTGCCTGCTGCTCTCCCTTCGACTCCCCCACGCAGGTCATCGCCTCGCGCCCCAACGTCTGCAAGCAGCTGCACATGCCGGCGCAGAGCGGCAGCAGCGCTGTGCTGGAGCGCATGCGGCGGGGGTACACCCGGGAGGCGTACGACGCGCTGGTGCGCCACGTGCGCAATGCCATACCAGAGGTGGCGCTCAGGTGGGTGCGAGTGCGTGGGGTGTGGGTTGTGGGGTGGAGCTGTGATGCTGGTGGTGGTGCAGCGGGGCGCAGAGCCTGGCCCACTTGCGTGCCCTCCGCGCACTATCCGCACGCTCACCGCCTGCGCCGTCTACCCTGCTGGATGCTCCCCCACCCACCACCACGCCCTGCCCCCAGCACCGACATGATTGCCGGGTTCTGCGGGGAGGGGGAGGAGGACCACGCCGCCAGCCTGGACCTGGTGCGCAGCGCGGGCTACGACCAAGCCTTCCTCTTTGCATACTCCATGCGCGGCAAGACGCACGCCGCACGGCACTACCAGGTGCACGGTCAGGGCGGGCGGGTGGTGGAGGCATGCGTTTTGTGTGTGTGTGTGTGTGTGTGTGTGTGTGTGTGTGTGTGTGTGTGTGCACGTGGTGGGTGGTGGGTGGGTGGGGGCTTAGTCGTGGCACGGCACAAGGCGGCGGAGCCGGCGTGGGCGGCTGATCTCTGGGGGATGCTGGCAGTAGAGGGGCACGCCGCGAGCCGCCGCGCTGTGCCCACGCAGCACTGATAGGTCTGCCACCCCCTGTGGCGTGTGCTGCAGGACGATGTGCCTGAGGAGGTGAAGCAGCGGCGGCTGGCTGAGCTGATCGCGGCCTACCGGCAGGAGCTGTACCGCCGGGCCGCCGCCGAGCTGGGCCGCCGCCACCTGGTGCTGGTGGAGGGGCCCTCGCGGCGCTCAGGTGCGCGGGCGGGCCTGGTGGGTGGATGCGGTTGGCCAGCTGTGGTAGGCAGAGAGGCTGGGCAAGGCATCACCCAGCCAGATTCTGCGCTCTTGGGTCAGTCCATCGCCCACCCTGTTGTTGCCAAAACCTGCTGCCCTTGCTTGCTGCTACTGCAGAGTCGGCCCTGACCGGCAGAACGGACACCTTCAAGCGGGTGGTTTTTGATGATGTGGCGGTGCCTGCCAGCTACCGCTACGGTGGCAGCAGCGGTGATGGCAGCAGCAGCATTGAGGCGCCCCTGGTGCGCCTGCAGCCAGGCGACTACGTGGCTGTGGAGGTGACGACGGCGGGCGGCACGCTGCGGGCGCGCCCGCTGGCGAGGACCACCCTGCGGGAGTTTGTGGCGGCGCACGGCTCGGCAGCGCCGCTGGGCGTGGCGGGAGGCAGCGAGCGCGGCGCTGAGGAGGCGACAGAGTGCCTCCAGAGCATAGCGGTTTGACATGTAGAATATCCACAGACATTTAACCTCTGTTGCTCTGTTGCTGCCACCAGTTGCTGTCGAGAGCGCAGCAGGTCAGCAGGCGCCGCTGGCGCAAAGCGCGCGCAGCGCGGTGGCGCGCCCTTGAGATTTCAGGGGGCGCGCACGTTGCAGCAATGCCCAGCCTCCTGCAGGCCTTGGGGACTGTTCAGCAGCCATGGGTTTCGTTGTGGGGGACGCAATCGAAGTGGCGGGTCGTGCTGAGGAGGGCTTCCCCCATTCTTGGTTCGAAGGAGTGGTCAGTGGCATGCACCGGCCCAGCTCACGGGGAGCGGTGGTGAACTTGCTAATGATCGAGTTCCCCGCTTTCAAAACCAGCAATGGCAGCGTTGAATTCGAGGAGCACCCGGCCACAAGCTTGAGGGTCAGACCTGCACTGCCCGCCAACGTCGTGCCCGCGAGGCTTGACGAGTACCAGGTGGGCGCGGTGCGGCGGGCGCCCGTGCATGCGCGGCGGCGGCCAAGCAGCCAGCACCCACGTGGCCATTTCGCCTCTGCCTGCAGGTGGGCGAGGCTGTGGACCTGCAGGACACCGCCATCTGGTGGCACGGCGTGGTGTGCGACAGGTGCCCGCAGCGGGGCCTGCTCATCTACCTCACCGGCTCGCCCGAGCGCCGCTGGGTGTCCGACCCAGCCCTGCTGCGCCCGGGCAAGGTGTGGGTGGCGGGCCTGTGGCGCGACCGCCCGCTGCCGCCGCTCCCCAAGAACCTCATCCGCCACCCCCAGCAGCAGCAGCAGCAGCAGCAGAAGCCCAAGCCGGCAGTCACCGGAGCCAAAGCCAAGGCGGCAGCCAAGGCGGCAGCCAAGGCCGCAGCCAAGGCCGGCTCAGGCGGTCGCGCAGGCAGCAACGACGAGAACGCCTCGGTGCTGGTGCGGCGGTCGACGCGAGACAAGCAGAGCCGGCTGACCACGGTAAGGGGCAGCCTGCCTGGGAACCAGTCGGTGTGCTCTTGTGCTTGTGCTGCAAGCACCAAACATGCCACAACCTGCCCCTCCTGCTCTGCGACTGCCCTTCCTCCAATGTGCCAGCCACACCGTGCTGCGGCTCAACATACACCACATGCATCGTCACTCACCCTCCCCTCCTGCTCCATGTCCTCCCTGGTGCTCCAGGTGGACGGCCACGCCGTGCTGAAGCTGAACATGTATGATCTGGAGGGAGGGGAGCGGTCGGTGTTTGACCAAGAGCTCAACCGTGAGTGGCGGGCGCCTGGGCAGGCCGCCCGCGGCTGGTGCTGCGGGGCCCTGGTTGGGGCTGGGAGGAGCCGGGCGGAGCGCCCTTTGTTCTGTGGTGGCCGATCGGGCGCATCATGCCGCAGGTGCTGCCTCGCCCGGCCTGGCTGGTGGTGGAGGCTCGCTGTTTCCATGTTGCCTTGCCCTGCCCTGCCCCGCCAGTGCCCGCAGGCCCCCGCGGGACCCAGGGCGGCGCCGCCGCCGGCCCCGCGGCCACCTGGGTGGCCGTGGAGCAGCCGGGCAAGCGGCTGAAGCCCGCGGCGGCGGCCGCGCTGCTGTCGCGCGGCGCCAGCGCGCCGCCGGCCGGCGAGGAGAGCGAGGGGGAGGAGGGCGGCGGCGTGGCCTCGCCCTCCAAGGCGCGATGGAATGACGAGGTGCTGGCGCACAACGCCGCCATCAAGGCCGACTCCCGCGCGATGCGGGGCCACCACGCTTCCTTCCTGGAGGAGCACTTGCAGGTGGGTGGGGGCTGGGCGGCCTCCCCTGGGTGTAGCACACGCCGGTGCCGTGCCTAATGCGGTGCGTGGCGGTGTGTGGCTGGCCTGGCTGGCTGCTGGCTGGCTTTCCGGCTTGCTCTGCCGGCCTGGAACCGTTTGCAGGCGAGCGTGATTGCCAGCTCGGGCGCTGGCCTCCTCTCGCGCCCGGCTGCCCACCAGGCTGCCCAGCGCCCTTTGTGACCCGGGCGCTGCCGGCTGCAGGTGCTGCGCCCCTTTGTGTCTGCCGACGTGGCGGCGCGCATACGGGCGGCGGCCGCCGAGGCACGGTCTGTGGGCCTGCCGCCGCTGCCGCCGCCGGTGGAGGTGCAGCCCGGTGAGCGGGGGTGCAGGCGGGAGAGCGGGCGCGTGTGTTTCCTGCCGGGGCAAAGGCCTGGAGCCCACATGCTGCCTCGACCTTGCCGCCATCTCCCTGCCCTGCCCCCTGCCCCCTGCCCCTTGCCCCGCGCAGAGTGCCTGGCGGCCACGCTGCGCGAGTACCAGCTCGAGGGCCTGCGCTGGCTGGTGGGCATGTGGGACCGCGGCATGCCCGCCATCCTGGCGGACGAGGTGGGTGACCTGGTGGGCAGGTGGGCTGTCCCCCCCGCTGCCGCTCTTCATGGTGCCCAGCCCCCCTTTCTCTTCAGGCGGCGGCGAGCCTCCCAGGGAGCTGCCCCCCGGCCCTGCCCCCCACCCCCTCCCCTCACACAGATGGGACTGGGGAAGACGCTGCAGACCATCGCCTTGCTGTCCTACCTCAAGTTCGAGCGGGGCGTGCAGGCAAGGGTCCCTGGCGGCCAGGGGTGTGGTGGCGGGGCGGTGGTGGCGCGGCCGCTCCGCTGGGTGTGCCTGGCCGTGCTTCCTGCCCGCCTGCCTCTTGCAGGCTGCGGCGCTGCGGTGCACGCCGCGCCTGCCTGCCTGCTGCTGGCGGCCAGCGCCCGCATGTTCTGACGGTGGCATGCTGCGTGCGCTGTGCGTGCTGTGGTCGTGCAGGGCCCGCACCTTGTGGTGGTGCCCCTGTCGGTGCTGCCCTCCTGGATGAGCGAGTTCGAGCGCTGGAGCCCCCAGGTGTGTGGCACCTGCCTGCCTGCCTGCATCCCCCTCTGCGCGGCCAAGCCGCCGCCGCCTTTGTGCGCGCCAATTTCCTCTTCCCCTGCCAGCAGCCCTGCCTGGTGCGCGCCATGCTTGCACCGGCATTGCACACCCAGCGCGCCCCCGCTCCTCTGCGGCGCAGATGCGCGTGGTGCGCGTGCACTCGAGCGACGCGGAAGAGCGGCAGCGCCTGAAGCGTGAGGTGCTCTCCCGCCCGTCCTCCTTTGATGTCGCCGTCACCACGTGAGCGGCGTGCCTGCCGACATGCCGCTGCCTGGGTTGGCAGCAGAGGGTTTGGGCAGCGAGGCGGGAGCTGGCGTGCCAGCCGGCTGTGCCGTGCCTCTCGGCCCGATGGGCAACCTTCCGAGCGCTGCCTGCCTGCCTTTCCACCTGCCAAGTATCATCCTACCTGCCTGCCCTGCCGCGCGGTATCATCACAAGTATCATCATCCTGCCTGCAGCTACGACATGGTGAAGAGCAAGGACTGGAACGCCATCCTGGCGCGCATGCTGCGCTGGCGCTACCTGGTCCTGGATGAGGGGTGCGCACACGCGGCGGGCACGCTGTGGTCAGCACGCTGGGCAGGCTGGCGGCATGGTGCCTGGCCGCTCAAGAAGCAGCGCAGCAGGCTGGCAGAGGGCTTGTTGCACCCCTAGTGCTGTTGCAACCCTGCTTTTGGTCACTCCCTCTGCTGTGCAGGCACCGGATCAAGAATGAGGAGACGCAGTTGGCGCACTCGATGCGTGGCCTCCAGTAAGCGCCGCCAGCTGGCAGCGGCCCGGCAGGCAGCGGCTCGAGCTTATGCCTGCTTGCTTGCTGGCATGTGGGCCTGCCGAGTGCGCGGCAGTGCAGCACTGATACATGCTCTCCCCATCACCCGCTCGCTTTGGCCTGCAGCCGCCAGCAGACGCTGCTGCTCACCGGCACGCCGCTGCAAGTGAGACCATATACATACCAGCCGGTGCCCCCTTGCTGCCCTCTCTGCCTGCCCGCCCGTCCCGTGGTCGCCACATGTGCACCCTCCCACCCTCTGCGTGCGCCGCGCTTGGCCGCAGAACAACCTGCACGAGCTGTACGCGCTGCTGTCCTATTTGTACCCCGACGTGTTCACCACCGCCCAGCCGTTTGACGACGCCTTCAACCTCACGCTGCACAAAGTAAGTGGGCAGACAGCACCTTCGAAAAAGATGAACGTGCCCAAGCACTCCACCTTCCAGCCACCTTCCTTGAACAACAGGTGCACCTGAACGCATCGTTGGCTGCAGGTGGACGCGGCGCAGCTGGAGGCGGCGCACCACATGCTGTCGCCCTTCATCCTGCGGCGCCTGAAACAGGATGTGGAGCTGGGCATGCCGCCCATCGTCGAGACGCGCATCAGCTGCCCGCTCAGCCTCATGCAGACCTTCTGGTACCGCCGGCTGCTGATGAAGGATGGTGCCGCGCTGGCGCACATGGAGAAGGAGGTGGAGGGCAAGGTCAAGGTGTGTGTGGGGGGGAGCTGGGTGGCTGGGGAGTTGCCGCGGCAAGCTTTGACATCAGGCAGTGTCAAAGCCTCCAACAGCGAGACCAACGGCGCAGCGGCGGTGGTTGCTCAGTATTGCTGACCTCCGTTTTCTTAGTTGACCTCGCTGCCTGCTCTTGTCCTGCTTGGATTCAGTACGATGCCAACGAGAACAGCTGGAAGAAGCTCATGATGCTTGTGCAGCAGCTGAGGAAGTGCTGCAACCACCCGTGCGTGCAGCTGTGGCAGAGGGCTCGGGCCGCCTGCACCACTTCGCTTGCTTGGCCCGAGCTGGGCACGGGCTGCTGCGCTCCCTGCCAAACGGTGTCGACCCCTGCTTTTGTGCCGCCCGTCTTCCCACGACTTTGCAGGTACCTGTTCCCCGGGTCTGAGCCAGACTTTGATGGAAGGACGGGTGAGGCAGGCTAGGCACTGCCCGGCACGCACGTAGGCATGCAGCACATCGCCTGCAGCTCCCCAATGCCTGGGCCCCTGCCTCCATGTCCGCCCTTGCCCACCTTTCCTCGCAGGCGAGGACATCGTCCATGCCAGCGGCAAGATGGACGTCCTGGATCGGCTGCTGAAAAAGCTGAAGAGGCGCGGCCACCGCGTGGTGCTGTTCAGCCAGGTGGGCGGCTGGCCAAGGCGGGGCACGCCCTTCTGCTCGCTGCCTTGCTGCTCTGCTGCAACCTGTTCCCTATACTTGCTGAGTCCACATCCTGCTCCTTCCTGTGCTTTCTTCCTTTGTGTCAGTTCAATATGCAGCTGGACATTCTCGAAGACTTCATGAACATGCGCGGCTACAAGTGAGGCACAGCACAGCAGCCTGCTCCAATGCCCTGCAGGACCTGTCGCAGGGGTCTTTTTGGTGGTGGTGGTGGTGATAGAGGTGGTGGCGATGTTGGCTGGGTGTCGACTTGGCCGCAGCTTGAGCATGAAGTGTTGGCCTGCCTGCCTCCTGCAGATACAGCCGGCTGGACGGCACCACCAACCGCGTGCAGCGCATGATAGACATCAAGGTGGGCCGCGGCTCGCCCGAGGTGGCGTGTGGCGGGGCGATGCCCCAGGGAACGGGGCCCCTCCTTGCCCATCATCCTCGTAACCCCACACCGCGCCCCTGCTGTGCAGCTGTTCAACCGCCCGGGCTCCGACACGTTTGTGTACCTGCTCAACACGCGGGCCGGCGGGCTGGGCGTCAACCTGCAGACCGCAGACGTGAGTGCCATGTGTGAGGCTGCACTCATGCGTGCGTCGGGGGGCCGGGACCCCCCGACTAGGGCAGGCAGCTGGATGGCAGGCTTGTGCCTGAGTACTGAGCTCCACTCATTCACTTGGCGCCTGCTGCCTGCAGACCTGCATCCTGTACGATTCGGGTGCGCGCTGGGCCTGCTGCGCGGCGCTGCGGCTGCTGCCCTTGCACCAGCCAAGCCTGTCCTGCGGCCGCAAAGGGCGTTGTCTCGACGTGGCGCTGACTTGCTCCCCTGTCTTGCCGGCCCCGACACCCCACCCGCTGCAGACTGGAACCCGCAGGCTGATCTGCAGGCAATGGCGCGCGTGCACCGCATCGGCCAGACCAAGCCTGTGCATGTGTACCGGCTGTGCACTGAGGGCACGATAGAGGAGGTACGCTGGGTGTGTATCCTATGCATTGATGTGCTGGCCCAGGCTGTTGTTTTGCTGCAAGGAACAGGGGCATGCAGGTTGGCCCAGCTGTGGCACTTGATGCAGCCGCGCTCGCCCCAGGTTTTGTGCACGCTCACTGGCCTGAAGCCTTTGTCGCTGAAGCCTTTGTCGCCGTGCCTTGCCTACGTGCAGCGCATCCAGCAGCGTGCAGAGAAGAAGCTGTACCTGGATCAAATGGTCAATCGCGGCTCCATGGCGGGTAGGGCGCCCGCTGGTCTTCCTGCGTTTCTTCCTTCCCAGGGGAGTTGCCAGGGATGCCCATCTGCCTCCCGTCCTCGAGCACATGCCATGTACCGAGCCTGCTCCCCCTCGCCTTCCCCCCGCTCCGCTCCCCTTCACCGCGGCCGCCCTGCAGGCGTGCAGGGCCTTGAGGCCATGGACAAGCAGGAGGTGCTGAGCATGCTGCGCTTTGGCTGCGACCGCATCTTCCAGTCTGAGGAGGGGCGGCCGCCCTCGGACGCCGAGCTGGACGCAATCATCCACCGCTCTGGCAGCCGTGCGGCGGAGAAGCTGGTCAGGGAGCCCAGCGGCACGGCAGGTGCGCGGGGCGGGGCACGCGGGGCCGGGTGCTGTGATGTCCTGAGATAGCAGGGCGGCCAGCGGCCGCTGCAAGGCCTGGGAGTGGAGCAGGGAGGCGCCGTCATCGCAAGCCAGCCCCCGTTGGTCGAGCTTGGCCTGCCCAAATGCCGCTGCCGCCTGCTCTGATGCTTTCGGCTTGGCATCCCTTCACCCTCGCTGCTTCACCTCCCTGCGCCTCCCTGCTGCTGCAGCCCCCGTGGGGTCCCCCAAGCCGCTGCCGCTGGTGGAGGGCAAGGCTTCTGCCGCCACCTTTGACGCGGAGCAGAAGCCGCTGAGCAGCTACGTGCTGGGCGGGGTGGACTACCGGCAGCAGGGGGACAGCATGAAGGTGGGCGCCAGCTGAAGCTGCCGCCAACGTTTGAAAATGTTGAACAGAGCCAGCGGGGTCGGAAGGCAGCGGAGGCTTGTGCATTTGGTGCCCGTGCCCTACATCCATGCATGGCCGCCGCCCATGCTGCCGTGCCCGCTACCTGGCTGCCTGCCGAGCCGTCCCGCCACGCCGCGTCCCGCTGCTGCCCGCAGGATATTGGGCGAGCGTTCTGGGAGGGGCAGGGCAAGGGCAAGCGCGAGAAGCGGCAGCGCCTGGTCAAGGTGGACGGCTTCGACATCCTGCGCTCCAACATGTACAGCCTGACTGAGGTGCGGGCGGGCTGGGGGGATGGCTGGGTGCGATGGAGGCATCTGGGAATGTGGCGGGTGTGGTAGGCGACTGGCCAGGTGCCCACGGCATACATCTTGCCCCGCCATTTTCTTTCTCATTCTCAACACCACCAGCTTCCCGAGCAGCGCTCAAACAGCAGCTTCTCAGCTGCGCCGTTCCTGCTCCTCGGCATCGCGTATAACAAAGCCGGCGCTGCCGGCCCCGGCCGCAGGGCGAGCCGTCTGTGTTCGACCGTGAGGCGGCCACGATGAGGGTGCGCCCGGTGGCTGAGAAGAAGATGCAGACGGCGGGGCGGGACTACCCTCACCAGGACTTCTGCCAGGTGGGCGCGCCGCCAGATGTTCCAGCATGCATGCTTTGCTGCGCGCTGCGGGCCTGTTCGGCACTCCCAGGCTGGATGTCGCCCTGCCGGTTTGCTGACCACCACCACCACACACACACACACGCACGCACATGCACACACACACACACACACACACACACACACACACACACACACACGCATCACCATCGCCTGCGCCCCGCCGTCTCCCTCTCCGGACACCAGGTGTGCTGGGACGGCGGCGAGCTCGTCTGCTGCGACGGCTGCCCCTCCGCCTACCACGTGGACTGCCTGGGGCTGAGCCTGGCGGATGTGGAGGCGTCGTGGAGGTGGATGTGCCCGCAGCACGAGTGCGCGGCCTGCCACCGCAAGGCGCAGGTGGGGGTGGGCGCAGGGGCGGAGGGGCCCGGGCCGCGCCTTGTTGTCTGCCACTCATGCTGCGTGCCGTACAGGCTTGCCTGGCTCTATCCACACACCCGCCCCTCCCCTTGCACACACACCACCCCTCCTGCAGGCGGTGGGCGGCATGCTGTTCCGCTGCGAGGGCTGCGCCTTTGCCTTTTGCGAGGACCACCTGCCCGAGGAGGCAGATGTGGTGATGGAGAGCGAGCGCTTTGCCAGGCTGGGATACCGCCGCACCGCCGCCGCCTGCTACGTGCGCTGCTCTGCCGGCTGCGCCCACCTGGCCGACGCGCTGCGCTCGGAGCGGCCGCTGCGCTCCCCCTCGGCGCGATCGCCGGCGGCGGCCAGGCCAGGGCAGGCGGCCTTTCTGTCAGCGGCGGCAGCCCCCGGCAAGTCTCCTGCCGGCCGGGGCAGCGGAAAGTCGCCGGCGGCGGCGCTGGGCAGCAGGGGATGACCGTTCCCGGCCGTAGGCAGCCTGATTAGGCAGCCAGCCCTAGGCGCGATAGGCAGGTGGTGCGCATTTACACACTGAGGGAGGGGCTGGGTGCTCCTGTGTAGTAGGTATGCTACTCTTTGAACTGAAGAACACTTGCATCGGACTCGCCCCCTTTCCTTAAGAACAGTTCACATCGTTCCCGCCACCACTTCCCTACCACCTCTGCTTGCTGGCCGGCTTGTGTCCTCCTTGCGTCATGCTAGTGATTTCTCAATACACTGCAGCAGCTCCAGTGATATGATGACAATGGCAGTGGCCTTAGATGTAGAAAACAGCAGCAGCTGCTCCTTCTGACAGTGATGGGGCAGTAGGCGGCGGCACAGCCGGCCTCCTGCCGGCACCAGCCTGCCAAGTGTCCGCAGCGGGTGCAAAAGCTTTCACCCCCTCTAAACCTGCTGCAAGTGGCGCCCTGGGCCCAGCCGGGCGCCATCACTTGCAGTGCTCCACGGCTGGTCACAAGCAGGGAACCGCAGCGCGGACGGTGAGGGGGCGGTGGCGGGCGGGCCCATGGAGGGCGAGCAGGCGCACGGTCCGTGCATTCTGGCAGGTCCACATTGCGTCCCTTGCCTACACCGTCGTTCGCGCCTATTCGTCTTCGTCGCTCAACATCCCCTTTATCTCATAAGCGGGGAGCTGTAGAGCTGTAGCTCTCCCTTCTCCTCCCGTCCTCAATTCACTAAATCTGCCTGGTCTTTACAGTGCATTCGCTGATGTTTGTCCGGCAGCGCCACTGGCGTCCACTGCGGCATTTGTGGCAGTAGCTGGAGCAAGCGCGGAGCGGTCGAGGAGCAGCGAGGGGCGAGCGGTCGACGGAAGAGGCAATTTGCAGGGCGCAAGGGCAGCCCTGCCGCGAGCCCCACCACAGCCGCGAGGCCTCTCGCAGGTGACCTCCTCGTGCTATTTGTGTAGCCAGCGCCTTCAACCGCGCCGCTTGCACGCATGGCCGCGCCAGGGTCACGCGGAGGCCTCCCCTGCACAGCGGCGCAGCCGAGCGCCGCCACGGCCCGTCCCGCCGCCGGCGGCATATGAGCTTTGGTAGTCTCTACAACTGGCACACTGTTGTTTACAAAGAAGCGAGAAGTTGTCTGTGCCGTCCATGCGCAGGGTACGCGTTAACTGCAGAGAGACAACATGGCGCCGCCGCCGCGCGAGCGGCAGGCAGCGGCGTCGCCTGCGGCCCGCGAGCCAGGCGGGCGCTGGCCCACGTCGAGCTCTGTGGCGGTGGCCGCCTTGGGGGCAGCCCTGGCTGTATGCTGCGCCCAAATCCTGCACCTGAAGCGTCAGCTGCGGCTCGCGAGGCAGCAGGCAGAGGATGACGCCTCTTTAGGCGCAGCCACGCACGCCGCAGCACACAGCCGCAGCACCAGAGTGCGGCGTAGCGGCAGCGTGCACCAGAATGGCGCACTTCCCTTCAGTGGCAGGGCCAGCAGCAGCGGCAGCGGCAGCGGCAGCGACGCCCTCTCTGCAGACATCGGCAGCCCAGAGCATCAGCAGCCCGCAGCAGCGGAGCCAGTGGCGCCGGCGCCTCGGCCAGCAGCAGCAGTTGCTGCAGCGGAGCCAGCCGCGCCGCAGCCACTGGCGAGCCGCTCCTTCTCTGAGTCTCCCTTCACGGCCGCAGCAGACCAGCCTTTCGTCTATTCCGCCTCTCCCTTTGGGGCTGCAGCAGCAAGGCGGTCCTCAGTGTCCTCTGCCTCTCCCTCGCCCTTCTCGGCTGCAGCAGGTCAGGCCACCAGCACTTTCTTCATGCCAGCAGCAGCCCAGCCCTTGGCGGCAGACCACCCCCACCCCTCCTCCACCTCTCCCTTCCAATCAGCAGCAGCAAGCCGGCCTTTAGTTCCCCCTGCCTCTCCCTCGCCCTTCACGGCTACGGCAGGGCAGCCCTTTGCCTCCTCCACCTCCCCCTTCCAAGCAGCAGCAGCAAGCCGGCCTTTAGTTCCCCCTGCCTCTCCCTCGCCCTTCACGGCTACGGCAGGGCAGCCCTTTGCCTCCTCCGCCTCCCCCTTCCAAGCAGCGGCAGGCCGCGCGTCCTCTCCCTCTCCCTTCACGAGCGTAGCAGAGGAGCCCTTTGCCTCCTCCGCCTCAGCCTTTGAGGCCGCAGCAGCCCAGCCCTTTGCCTCGCCGCCCACCTCCTCCGGCAACGCCAGGGCGCAGCAGCCGCAAGGCGCGGCCCCAGCACGGCGCGCCGACGGCGCCAGGGCGCCCCCCCCGCGCTCGCCTATGCACCGTTGCGGCTCCATGCCTCCCCTGGCCCGCGCGGTCAGCGGCAGCCAGCAGTCTGCGGTGGCGGCGGCGGTGGCGGCGGCGGTGGCGGCGGTGCAGGGCAGCTCGCCGTCGCCGCCGCCGCAGCAGCACGGCGCGGACGGCGGCAGGGCTGGACATGCCCTGCCGCCCCTGCACCGCGCCGGCTCCACGCCTGCGCCGCCGTTGAGCATGCTGGAGCGCGCCGCCAGCAGCAGCCAGTACACGGCAGCGGCGGTGGCGGCGGCGGCGGCGGCCAGCTTCATGCCACTGGCGCGCGCCCCCTCACTGGCCACCTACGCCAGCGGCCTGCTGGATCTGGAGCGCCAGCTGTCGGCCCTGCCCGAGCTGGCGCAGCTGGTGGCGGCGTACCAGGCGGCGACCCCCGGGGTGCGCGAGGCCGCCAGCCGCGGCGCAGCCGGCAGCGAGGGCGGCGGCGAGGCCTCGGCGCCCCACTCCCCCGCCTCCTCCTCCTCCCCGCCCTCCTCCTCCGACCACGTGCTGCTGAGCGGGGAGGAGCTGGGCCTGCCGCTGCGCCTCATACATTCCCTGGTGGATCCAGACGCCGTGGCATACCTGCACGGACCCGATGGAAAGCCCGAGGTGCTGGGGACTGGTGCCAGGTAGGCGGCGGGGGGGGGCCCGGCGGCGCCGCAAATACCTGCCTGCCACAATCCCAGCAACACAGGCCAGCAGCACACCGGGCTGGCCTGTGCGCATCCCGCATGCCCCGCTGCCCACGCGTGCCTGCCGCGGAGGGCCACCCGCCCGCTGTGCGCTGCTGCGTGGCGCCTGCTGACGCGCGCCGCGCCGCCGCCGCCCTGCCCTGCCCTGCCCTGCCGCGCCACCCGCGCCCTGCCGTGCCGCAGCAGCCGCGTGTACAAGGCTCTGTACAATGGCGAGGCGGTGGCTGCCAAGGAGATTGACATCGGGGGCAGCCTGGAGGTTCGGGAGGCCTTCATCACGGTGAGTGGCTGCCTGCCCTGGGCTGCCTCTTCCTTGTCGCTTCTTTGAAGTACTTCAAGGCTGGGGGCGGGTCGAGCTGGGGACGGCCCTGGGTTGCCTCTCCCTTGCTGTCTTGTAGATGCTTACAGTACCGGCTGGGGGCGGGCGGCTGCAGCTTGGGGTGTGTAGGCGGGCAGGCAGCGGGGCGCATGCCTCCCCACAGCGGTGGCAGCTGGGCATCGCGTTCCACCGCCAGCCGGCCGCGCGCGCGCCTGCTCGACTCCCCGCTGCCCCGCCTACGCTGCCGCCGTGTGATTGCAGGAGGCGCTGCTGCTGCAGCACCTGCGCCACCCATGCATCATCGGCTTCTTCGGCCTCAGCCTGACGGCAGACAAGGGGGTGGTGCTGCTGGAGCTTGCAGAGGGTGAGCAAGGGGCCAGGAGCCTTTGGGAGCTGTTTTGGTTTGCAACAAAACGAGCGCCGCTGCCGCCAACCCGGCGGCGACGACAGCAGGCTTCCCGATGCTGCCCACCACCTCCCCGGCCCTCTCCCTCGCCCCCGCTGTGTGTGTGGCTCCCATGCGTGCCTCATGTGTGTGCCTCCTGTGTGTGTGCGCAGGCCGCGACCTGCACTCCGCGCTGCAGCTGACCGCGGCGGGCAGCGGCGAGCGCGTGTTTGGCTGGCACAGGCGCGGCCGGCGGGTGGCGTATGAGGTGGCGCGAGCCCTCAACTACCTGCACAGCAAGGTGGGCGGCATGGAGCGAGGCCCGGTGTCGCCTGCTGGCTGCCGTGGGTGGGGGCCTGCCCGGGCCAGGCAGCTGGGGACTGAACCGGCACGCAGGCAGCGCGGATGCAGCTGTTGCTTAGTGTGTTTTCACGGTTGTTTGGGTTTCCACGCAGCGCATCTATTAACGCCACGTGCTGCCTGTCTGGCAACGCAGGGCGTGACGCACATGGACGTCAAGAGCGGCAACGTGCTGCTGACGGCCTGCGGCGAGGCGCGCCTCTCCGACGTCGGCCTGTCGCGCCACCAGGCCCTCGACGGCGCCTCAGACGCCACAGACACACGCTGCATAGGCACCTTCAACTGGTGAGCGCGGCGACGGCGGCCGTCCCGCCAGCTGCGCGTCGCCTCGTGCTGTGTGTCGCCCGCGCCGTGCCGCGCAGCACCTCGTGCCGTCGCCCCCACCGCGCGCCGATGCTCCGGCTTGCGTCGCGAGCCTGCCCTGCCGTGTGCTGCCCCGCCCCGGTGCAGGATGGCGCCTGAGCTGCTGCTGGATGCCGAGGGGGCGTGCACCCCGGCCTGCGACATATTTTCCTACGGAGGTGCGGCCGTGGCAGAGCGTGTGTGTGTGCTGGTGGGCAGGGGGAGCGCGCCTGCTGGCAGGCCAGGCCAGGCCCGGCCCAGCTAACAGCCGCCCCAGGCAGCACTAGCAGCACGTCATCCCAACCTTTTCCATCCGATTACCCTAAACTTGTCCCCCACCCATGCCTTGGCCTGCAGTGCTGCTGTGGGAGATTTGCTCGGGCGAGCGCCCGCTGCGGGGCCGGCTGAGGCCGCTGCGCGTGCCGCAGGAGTGCCCCAAGGCGGTGGCTGACCTGGCGCTGCGCTGCATCTCCCGCGACCCAGCCCTGCGCCCCACCGCGGCCCAGCTGCTGCAGGAGCTGGGCCAACTGATGCGCCAGCGCGCCTTTGCCGCGGACCGCACCACCACCACGCTGCTGGGCAGGACCACCAGCGGCGGCGGCGAGGCCGGCGCCCGGCCGGCCGGCGCGCTGGCGCAGTCGCCGCCGCAGGCGCAGGCGCAGCTCAAGCGCATGGACAGCACCCCGCTGCGCACCCTCAGGCTGAGCACAGAGGTGCAGCGCAGCGCCAGCCTGAACCACTACCCGCTCCTGGCAGCCGCCGCCACCGGCTTTGGAGGGGCCGGGCCGGGCGCGGGCGCAGGGTAGCGCGGGCATGCACCCGCGCCCTGCACGACCGCCACGCCCCCTGGCTGGGCCGCGCTCTCTCGCCAGGGGCCGCGCCCCAAATCGCAGCGAGCCTGCATACTCCCAAGGTCGCCGACACTTGTTGCCACACTGTTCTACGCACCCCCGAACTTGCCCCTCGTTGATGCTGATCCAACCGGCTCCCAACCGAACCAATAGCTCGTGGCTGGTAGTCGCATGCTCCCCCCAGCTTGTGCAATTATTATTGAATGGTTCTCACCGTTGACCATTGTTTCTCACGTGCGCGACGTCCACACTGCATTGCCATCACTCCTGTGCGCCGCCGAGACAGGCCGGAGCCGTCGCCTGGTGCACCTGATCTGCTACCCCTCCTTTTTGTTACATATCTTGTCTTTTTCCACCCGACATAGCTTGCTCCGCCATCAGGGGCAGCCCACCGTCCTGGCTGTAAGCCTAGCCCTCCGAAACAATAGTGTCTAGTAGGGACAACAACCGCGTGTGGGTAGGACGGGTGAGGCGGAGCGGGAGCCCTGCTCAGGCGGGTCGCACTGACCCCAGCCCGCCGTCCACCGCCAGCACCTGCCCCGTGATGAAGGAGTTGGCGGGGTCCAGCAAGAAAGCGAGGGCCGCCGCCACCTCCCGCGGCTCGCCGATGCGCTTCAGGGCGTGCATGGCGGTGCTGGCTTTCAGTGCCGTCTCGCTGCCTGCACAATGGGGAGCGCGAGGCGGGCAGAGGGGCAGGTGGTGGGTAGATTGGTGGTTGAGCGGTGGTTGGGGTGTCGGGCTGGACGCCGTCAGCCGTGCTCCTTTCTTCTCATTGCAGCCGACAGTGGTTCAGGCGGCAGCAGGAAGCGACGGTTCGCGTGGTATGGGGCGGCAGGCAGCCCAAGCAGGGAGCGGCAGGCCGGGCGACAGCCACGCCGGCGCAGCAGGGCAGCCGGCGTGCCTGTGATTCTGGCGGTCATGGGGGTGTGGGTGAGCCCCGGCGCCACGCAGTTCACCCGGACGTTGCGGGGCGCATAGGTGGCCGCGGCAGACAGCGCCATGGCCGCCACGCCGCCCTGCACGACGGCGGGCGGCCCGGGGCAAGCATCCAGGATGGGCTGGCGTCTGGCAGCGGCACTGGCCCCACGCTGCGGATGCAAGACACCACTTCAACTGTGCCCCACACCTGCCCACACCAGGGGCGCTAGCGCTATGTGCCAACACCCACACCCCGCTCACCTTAGCCGCGGCAATGGCCTCGTGGTTGGCAATGCCGTGCCGCGCCACCGCCGAGGAGCAGAAGGCGATGCTGCCGCCGCCGTTGGCGGGGCGCGACATGGCCTTGGCGGCCGCCCGCAGCACCCCAAAGCTGGACACCAGGTTGGTGCGCAGCGTCTCCTCAAACTCCTTCAGGCTGGTGGTGTGGGCTGCGGGGCGTGGCGCGCAGGCACCAGGTGGTGGGCGGTTGGGGGTGGCTGGGCTGGCGGCAGCACAAGGGACAGCACGTGGCAAATGACGGAGATGCGGCAGGAAGGAGGCCGGGAGGCGGGCGGTGCACACCTGGCTTGAGGATGACGCTGCCCACGCAGCTGGCCACGCCGTCTATCCTCCCGTACCGCCGTACCGCCTCCTCAACCACCCCCTCCACGGCCTGCAGGTCCAGTGGGTCTGCCGCAGCGGTGGACACCTCTGCCGGGCCTCCTGCGCCCGCCGCTTCTGCGGCCACCCGCTGCAGCCTGGCCTCGTCCCGCCCCGACAGCAGCAGCTGCGCGCCGGGCTGGGCTGCCAGCAGCACGCTGAGGGCGCTGCCGATGCCGCCCGTGGCCCCAAACAGGACGTAGACTGCAGGTGGGGAGGGGGAGGGCCGGGGGCTGCCGATGGGCGGCGGCGGCGGCAGCAGAAGCGCCTGCTCGGCAGGCCGCCAATCACACCAAACGCGCCTGGAGCCAACGAAGCTTCGCTGGTACCAGTGGAGAAGGCACGAGGCCACAACTGGGTGGCAACTGAGCGCGCCATCCGACTGATTGTGCCACTCAAGCTGCGTGGGGAGACTCTCAGATGGCGCCAGCTTCCAATGCAATGTGTTAGGGCGGCTCACATAGGCAAACGTGCCTCCTTCGGGCGTTTTCCTTCCACCGCCGCCAACCTGGCGCTGCAGCGGCCACAGCAGGGGCGCAACTAAAATGATGAAATATTTCATAGTCAACTGTCTGACCGTTTATGTCTGAATTACAAGTTGGCGGCCAAGACAGGGCAGCGCCTCGGTCCTCACGTCCTCTACAGCCGCCAGTGTGCGCCTGCCGCCCGCCGCCGCAGCGGCCCACAGTCACGCCCCGGGGAACAGTGTGGACCGATCCATCAGATACAGATACAGCACCACTGCAGAGCTGCAAGAAAGAGTGCAGGTCCCAGCTCGGTCGCGGCCGTGCCTTCTCCAACAGGGGCTGGCACACTGGGTGCCAGCAGCTTGTGCCCGCCACCGGCGCCGCCACCTGGCCAGTCAACTGTCTGACCGTTTATGTCTGAATTACAAGTTGGCGGCCAAGACAGGGCAGCGCCTCGGTCCTCACGTCCTCTACAGCCGCCAGTGTGCGCCTGCCGCCCGCCGCCGCAGCGGCCCACAGTCACGCCCCGGGGAACAGTGTGGACCGATCCATCAGATACAGATACAGCACCACTGCAGAGCTGCAAGAAAGAGTGCAGGTCCCAGCTCGGTCGCGGCCGTGCCTTCTCCAACAGGGGCTGGCACACTGGGTGCCAGCAGCTTGTGCCCGCCACCGGCGCCGCCACCTGGCCAGGTGCTGCTCCGCAGCTTAAAGCCCCTTGCTCTTCTGGGAGCCCAATTCTTGCTTTCATGTTGCATGTTTTTATTATCCAAGCAGCCAAACAACCAACTATGTTAAATGCAGGGGGGAGGCTATCGCAACATGCGCTCACAACTGGGGAAATAGTGACAGGCTCCGTGCAACTCGCTTGAAGCGAGGGAGGTCCATCTCGAGAGGGGACCCAGCCCACGGCGAGGGACAACGAGCAAGCCAACAAGGTGCAACACGCAGAATTAAATGGGGAGCTTCGGAGGGGGGCAAGTACAGAGGGCGCTATCATCATGCGCCTGGGGGCAGCATGGGGGAAAGAGTGCTACAGGATGTGTGCAAGTCTACAGATCGTGTGTGTGTGTGTGGGGGGGGGGCGGGTGCATGACCGAGGAGGGGGAAAGCAGATTCCCAAAACTTGGTGCCGCGTGCGGGGGGGGGGGGGGGGGGGGGGGGGA